GTGTATAGAAGATTCTTTTTATATGGAATATTTATCACACTGTAATGATGATTTCATAACCTCATAAATTTTTCATTTCACATGCTGAATACTATCATTTAGTAAAAAAAAAAAAGAAAAGTATTTTTAAAAAAAACAAGCTAATTCAGAGAATTCGTGTCCCCCGCTGTGGGAAAAAGTTGGCTCCCCCTGACTGAATTTGTAGAATTATTAAATGTATACACTGTCATGTATACTGAAGCAAATAAAATACATGTATGTCAATATGCATATAAAGATTTGATTGCTTATTCTTTATTATGTGTATAGAAGATTTTTTTATATGGAATATTTATCACACTGTAATGATGATTTTATAACCTCATAATTTTTTCATTTCACATGCTGAATACTATCATTTAGTAAAAAAAAAAGTATTTAAAAAAAAAAAAAGAAAGGATCGACCGAGATTCGATCCCAGGACCTGTCGCACTTGAAGCGAGGAAATAACCACCAGACCACGGAATCGCTTTACACGGTAGGAAGTATATGCAGAACTGAAGTCACATACATGTATATATTCATGTTTTCATGTTCGGTATTCTCAAAATTTTACACAATCCATGGTGTATGATCTATTTAGCCTTTATTAAACAGTTCTAATAGATGTAATAAGAACATAAAGTCCGCCGAGAACCTGTTTTATACGCAATAACTCTCCCTGCGCTAAAAATAGCGACATGTAATACTATAAATACTAATAAAACAAACGGGGCGGGGCACTTTGAGAGGGGCGAGAGACGTCCTAGGGAGTTGTATAAAATTACATTGCATAAGACCAAAATCTTCTTGAAATATCGCCCGGAAATGATAGTATTACACACAGACAGAATGTATAAATTTACGACCTTGAACTTTGACCTTTGACCTCAAAATCAATAGGGGTCTTCATTAGGCCACAGGGAGTTGTTATATAAAATTTCATTGCAATAGCTCAAATGGTTCTAGAGATATCGTGTGGAAACGAAAGTGTTTTAACAGACAGAATTTGCTTATTTATGACCTTGACCTTTGACCTTTTGACCTCAAAATCAATAGGGGTCTTCTTTAGTCCATAGGGAGTTGCTATGCTAAATTTCATTGCAAAAGCTCAAAGGGTTCTCGAGATATCATGTGGAAACGAAAGCGTTACAGACAGACAGAAAGACGGACGGACGGAGGGACGGGCGGACGGACAAACCCAAATTAATATCCCCCACTTTTCAAGCGGGGGACAAAAAAAAAACGATCGTTCGAGATTCGATCCCGGGACCTATCACATGTGAGGCGAGAGACATACCACTAGACCACGGAATAGCAATACATTGAGTCAAGTATATGCAGAACTAAAGTCACATAAATGTATATATTCATGTTCGGTATTCTCAAAATTTTACACAATCCATGGTGTTTGATTTATTTAGCCTTTATTAAACAGTTCTAATAGATGTAATAAGAACATAAAGTCCACCGAGAACCTGGTTTATACGCAATAACTCTCCTCATGCCCCTGTGCTAAAAATAGCGACATGTAATACTATAAATACTAATAAAACAAACGGGGCGGGGCACTTTGAGAGGGGGTGAGAGAGGTCCTAGGGAGTTTTGGTATAAAATTACATTGCATACGCTCAAAATCTCCTTGAAATATCGCCCGGAAATGATAGTGTTACACACAGACAGAATGTATAAATTTACGACCTTGAACTTTGACCTTTTGACCTGAAGATCAATAGGGGTCTTCATTAGCCCACAGGGAGTTGTTATGTAAAATTTCATTGCAATAGCTCAAATGGTTCTAGAGACATCGTGTGGAAACGAAAGTGTTATAACAGACAGAATTTGCTTATTTATGACCTTAACCTTTGACCTTTTGACTTCAAAATCAAAAGGGTTCTTCTTTAGTCCATAGGGAGTTGCTATGCTAAATTTCATTGCAAAAGCTCAAAGGGTTCTCGAGATATCGTGTGGAAACGAAAGCGTTACAGACAGACAGAAAGACGGACGGACGGACGGACGGACAAACCCAAATTAATATCCCCCACTTTTCAAGCGGGGGACAAAAAGAGAGGGAGGAAGAGATTATTTTAAGTTGATGCATCTTTGGACTTTCAAGATATTTATTATCAAAAAGTAGGTCACAGTGGCCTATTTTTAGCTCTACTGGTCAGAGACCAGAAGAGCTTATACGATAGTAAGGTGTCCGTCGTCCGTCCGTCTAGCTGTCTGTCTGTCTGTCCGTCTGTCTGTAAACAGTTTTTCAAAACGCTACTCCTCCTACAGTTTTGGTCTGATTTTAATATAACTTGGCACACAAGTAGACTACACTAAGATACATAAAATAGTGCATCTGTTTTTGATTTCGATGAACGGTGTTGTCATGGTTACTAAAAATAGAATTTTCTGTGAAATTCCTTTAAAATGCTACTCCGTCTACAGTTTTGGTCTGATTTCAATATAACTTGGCACACAAGTAGACTACACTTAGATACATAATATAGTGCATTTGTTTTTTTTGATTTCGATGAACAGTGTTGCCATGGTTACTAAAACAGAATTTTCTGTGAAATTCCTTTAACACACTACTCCTTCTACAGTTTTATTCTGATTTCAATATAACTAGGCACACAAGTAGACTACACTAAGATACATTAAATAATGCATCTGTTTTTGATTTCGATGACTGGTGTTGCCATGGTTACTAAAAATAGAATTTTCTTTGAAATTCCTTTAAAATGCTACTCCTCCTAGTTTTGATCTGATTTCAATATAACTTGGCACACAAGTAGACTACACTAAGATACATAAAAGTGTGCATCAGTTTTTGAATTTGATGAACGGTGTTGCTGTGGTTACTAAAAATAGAATTTTCTGTGAAATTTCTTTAAAACACTACTCCTTCTACAGTTTTGGTCTGATTTCAATATAACTTGGAACACAAGTAGTCTACACTAAGATACATTAAATAATGCATCTGTTTTTGATTTCGATGAACGGTGTTGCCATGGTATCTAAAAATAGAATTTTCTGTGAAATTCCTTTAAAACGCTACTCCTTCTACAGTTTTGGTCTGACTTCAATATAACTTGGCACACAAGTAGACTACACTAAGATATACATCGATTTTTGAATTTGATGAACGGTGTTGCTGTGGTTACTAAAAATAGAATTTTCTGTGAAATTTCTTTAAAACGCTACTCCTTCTACAGTTTTGGTCTGATTTCAATATAACTTGGCACACAAGTAGACTACACTAAGATACATTAAATAGTGCATCGGTTTTTGAATTTGATGAACAATGTTGCTGTGGTTATTAAAAATAGAATTTTCTGTGAAATTCCTTTAAAACGCTACTCCTTCTACAGTTTTGGTCTGATTTCAATATAACTTGGCACTCAAGTAGACTACACTTAGATACATAATATAGTGCATTTGTTTTTTTGATTTCGATGAACAGTGTTGCCATGGTTACTAAAAATAGAATTTTCTGTGAAATTCCTTTAACACACTACTCCTTCTACAGTTTTGGTCTGATTTCAATATAACTTGGCACTCAAGTAGACTACACTAAGATACATAAAATAGTGCATCGGTTTTTGATTTCGATGAACAGTGTTGCCATTGTTACTAAAAATAATAATGTCTCTTGAAATTCCTTTAAAACGCTACTCCTTCTATAGTTTTGGTCTGATGACAATGGCTTCTTTTCTCATCCTTTGTTTTAAATACAAACCAGTAGAGCTACAGTCTCGACAGAGACTTCTGGTTTAAATTTTGCAGGCATCTATCACACTTTGTCAGTTGTTGCATCTTGGGTCCTCAACAAATGGCAGCTAAAAAGTAAGTCACGGTGGACTAAAGTATATCAGGAACTTATTGGCTTAGAATCATCAGACTTTGTCAGTTGAGTCATCTTGCATCCTTGGAGTATATCAACTGAAAAGCAAGTCACCAGACCTGCTGTTGAAATTTTATGGCTATATTTATACATTGTATACTTCATGCATTGATTGGCTTAGAATCATCAACACTTTGTCAGATGATGTATCTTGAGTCCTCAGGGTACATGTATATGCTAACTGAAAAGTAAGTCACCATTACCTACTTTTAAAATGTTTTGGCTATATTAAAATATTTCTGGTACCAATTGGCTTAGAATCATCAAACTTAGTCAGTTGATGGGTTCTCAGAGTTGGTCAAGTGAAAAGTAGGTCACCATGAGATCACTTGATAGGGACATATTGTAGGTGTCAGTAATATACTATGAGTTTCATCAAGAATGGCTTGGGAAATGCTCTAAGTAAGGAATGATTATAAGGACGTAATTGACAAACTGTCCTAACTTGTGGATATCCAAAGAAAGTGAGCATGACATCAGTTGTTTAGAACACCTCTTTGTAATATATTCCCAGCATTTTGAAATTGTTTGGAGATTGGTCCTAAGTAAGGCGTGACATTAATCTGGAAACCTTTAGTGACATTTACAAGTAATATTTTTTGCATTTTAATCTTATATGCAAGGGTGCTAATTTGGCAATTGAATTTTTAGGTGACTGCTTCCAGTGTTACTTCTATATTCCTGTAGTCTTGGTTATTGACCAGATTGGTCAAATCTCCATCACTGAAATACTGTTAAAAGAAAAGGAAGACTTTTAATTTCTTCAGTATTTTAATATAAACAAAAACAATATCATGTAGAAATTGTGTATAACTTTTGCTTCCTGTATGGAAGACTGCTAGTCAACACAACTTTCTACAAGTGTTAAAATAAATTTTTTTACTATCACAAATATTTCTTTTATACAAGTTTAAAGATAGATTACCCTTATAATAATCTGTTTACTTAACACAAAAAGTTTAAAAACATCTAAACAAAGTCAAATTGTTTACTAAATCCACCCCCTGCCATCCCTGGATGCTGTATTCAAGATGACTCCTTAGGATGTTTGAGTTAAATTGAATATTTAAAAACTTTTAAAAAAAATTATTACATGTCGGTAAATGATAAATTTGTCCCTGTATTAATTAAACACCAGTAAAGATATAAGAAATATCCCTTCTACCCCTCATTGAAGAAGAAATTGCAGTCACTATGACCTTTCAGGATTTATATTAATTAAAAATTTCAAATCAAGACTTTCCTTATAAATTGAAAGAATAATTCTGACCCCCTCAGCCCCCATCCCAGTCATTTTTTGCCTTTCCCCAGAGTTTGTTTCAAAAGATTAAATTAAAAAAAAATTAACTTGTGGTAGCAACTGAGAGACAATAGCACACTAAATAGTTGAAACCAGGCCCCTTTAAATACATACCTTAATTATCATAAACTTTTTAACCTTTTAGTTCTTTTTAAACTTATTCTCGTGTCTTGGTGCCAATATTTCAAGTTTTGAACATAAAAGAACATAAAAGATGTTACAAGTACAAGTTCAAACTGCTTAGCTAATTTAGCAATTTATATTCAAATTGAAATAAAAAATCAATTACTGATCCTTAAAGTAATTCTTCAGCAAGACAATACTTCATTTTTTTTAAATATTATATATCTCTTGCACTTCCATAAATTTGTTTCTATTTTCTATTTTAATTTGCTTGCCTCCTGTTGTTCAGTATCACAGTGTAATACAAATAACATACAGTTAATAGAAAGAACACAATCAATCACAATATCAACATTTAAATCAGAGACTAAAATGTCTTCTATCTTACAATAGAGATACGTGTATAATTAACACAATTACTGATAATCAGCAACAAATTTGAGGAGAAATTGTTTCTTTAAAAGAAAACTACTCACATTTTTTTCACATTACATTCACATACATACATACATACATAATTACATCAATTTATGCTTATTTTTTAACACAATATTGAGAGCACTGTATATCAAAACAAGGCTCTTTGAGGTCCTCATGATGCAACACAAAAATTGAACATTTTTTTTTCTTTTTCTTTTTTTAATATTTAATAACATTGCTGTATTCTCCCACTTCTATGGACTAGGATGTTAATTCATATGTATTAATGATTAATTTATTACATGATATACAAATGATGTACAAGTAAGATAAATAAAGAACAACATATTAGAAACTCTGTCAGAGTGAATGTCTGTCACATAAACCCAGAGAAAAATCAGAGAATAAGAATATAAATACTACTAATACTCGTGTATCACAGTGTGGCTATTTGTCAAACAAAATATAAATAATTTAAACAATAAATTCATACCATGATTTTTTTTTTTTCAATATCACTCCAAATGAAAAAAAAAAATGCACATACATGTAATATGTATAGACTATTTTTAAGATGCACATTATATGATTATGCAGAAATAAATTAATGCTATTCACAATTCAAAACACACAGATAAATGATGTTACAATGAATAAATAGGATTTCATCTCTACTAAGATTAGAAATTATATTATCTCACAGCACATTAATGAAATTTGTGAGATAAATAAAGGATGAAGGACAGATGTATGTTTTGTTAACAAGAAGTTTTTGAATACAAATCTTAAGAATTTATTATAAAACAGCCACTGCCTATTGCTGCAATGTTTCACATTGTTTGCGTATGTTTACTAAGTCCCTAGATCTTTACAACATCTGACATTATACTCCGTGGTACTCGACCACAAAGAAGTGGATGTTCCCCAGCTCGTCTCCACAGATCAGCTCATTCTGATTGGAACCTTCCACGATCTCCATGCTGGTCACTGGTGCTGGACACAAAAACAGACCCATCTACAGAAAGAGGGAGAAAGCTGCATCAATTTTCTGTTTTTTCATGACATATACATACATGTATGTTAAGCCTTGTATGAATGCAAATCCAAAGAAGTTCTCAATGTTTGAAGAAGAATGCTAGGTTCTACTTTATATTCAGTGTATACAATACTTTTATATACAAATAAAAAAACTCCTTCATTTAATCAGGATCCACCCCCCTAGGATCTTCCTTACCTGTTCCAGTCCCTCAGACAACACCTGTTGTGGCGTAGTGTAAGATCTGGTGCAGTCTATCCTCCAGGCCTTCACGGAGCGGTCCAAGGATGACGTTAACACCAAACCATTCACGACCTTAACACAGGTCACATCTCTTTCATGTATCTGTAGAATGTTTTCAAAATAAATATAATATTACTCTTTATATTTGTTTGCTATGTTTGATTGTTGTCTTATACACCTATACACTTTAAAACACAAATATAGTTAGACACATTTCTTTCCTCTTAAAGGTTAAGTAACCATGCCATGTTATTATGTTCCCCAAACGAAGTTGGGGAACATCTTGTTTTTACTCTGTTTCTTATTATTAAGGTCTTCCGTTTCCAACGGAAGACCTTATTGTTTTCGTTCGGTTTCTTTTTCCCTATTATTATCATTTTTTTTCTTACCGATTTTTGTGCACGCGATTTCTCGGAAACGGCTCGGTGGATTTTTATGAAACTTTCAGATCTGATAGATAGTGATCTGAACCTTACTGGTAATTTTTTTATATGTACGACGTCACTTCCGGTCGTGAGATATGGACGATTTACTGATTTTTAGAGGGTCAGTTTGTCCTGGTAACTCCTCCTAAACGACTTAAGATATTGAGTCAAAATTTACAGTGAGAGTAGAGGAAGGTTTGCTGAAATGCATATGAGTTGCACACTTTTCTAGCGTAAAAGGCACCGGAGATCGGAGGGGCCCAAAAAATGTCTTAGAAATATCTCACGAAGTTTGACACCTTTTGTTTTATATCTTTTTACCTGTTCATAATATTTGTTAAAACATATTGAAGAAAAGTTGTGCAAAATGTTAAGAGCATTTATATAATACCAAGAAAAAGGGGCTGACCCCTCAAATTAGGGTCTCAGAAGGGCAAAAAGTCCTTTATTGATATCTCTTTTATGAACAATATTTTGTTATAAATTACTAAAGCAAAAATGTTTATCTTAACAATTTGCAACAATATATTGTAAAATTATGATCATAGATTACAAAATAAGGAGCCATAAGAGGTCAAAATATTTAATATTTCGATTCTTTATACCTCCAAAGGGAGAACGATTTTTATAAGCAGTATTGAATAAAAGATGTTTAGAATCGCATTCTAAACAATAGACAACCATTAAACTTTTGCATTTATAGCTTTTTTTTAATGTTATATAAATCAACCAGAAGTCTCTGTCGAGACTGAAGCTCTACTGGTTTGTACTTAAAGCAAAGGAAGAGAAAAGTTCTTAAGCCGTTGGGAATTGAAACTTTACCAGAACAATAAAAAAAAGAATAATGATCCTTGATTAAGTTTCTTTATGTTCTTAGTATAGTCTACTTGCATGCCACATTATATTATATTCAGACTTAAACTGTATTTGGAGTAGCATTTTGAGAGTATTTAACAGAAATTTCTATTTTTAGTAACCAAAGCAATAATGTTCATCAAAGTCAAAAACTGATACATGTATATAGAATTTTGTATCTTAGTGTAGTCTACTTGTGTGCCAAGTTATATTGAAATCAGACCAAAACTGTAAGAGGAGTAGCATTTTGAAAGAATTTCACAGAAAATTCTATTTTTAGTAACCATGGCAACACCGTTCATCGAAATCAAAAACCGATACACAGAATTATGTATCTTAGTGTAGTCTACTTGTGTGCCAAGTTATATTGAAATCAGACCAAAACTGTAAGAGGAGTAGCATTTTGAAAGAATTTCATAGAAATTTCTATATTTAGTAACAATAGCAACACCGTTCATCGAAATCAAAAACCGATACACAGAATTATGTATCTTAGTGTAGTCTACTTGTGTGCCAAGTTATTTTGAAATCAGACCAAAACTGTAGGAGGAGTAGCATTTTGAAAGAATTTCACATTAAATTCTATTTTTAGTAACCACGGTAACACCGTTCATCGAAATCAAAAACCGATACACAGAATTATGTATCTTAGTGTAGTCTACTTGTGTGCCAAGTTATATTGAGATCAGACCAAAGCTGTAGGAGGAGTAGCATTTTGAAAGAATTTCACAGAAATTTCTATTTTTAGTAACCACGGCAACACCGTTCATCGAAATCAAAAACCGATACACAGAATTATGTATCTTAGTGTAGTCTACTTGTGTGCCAAGTTATATTGAAATCAGACCAAAACTGTAGGAGGAGTAGCATTTTGAAAAATTGTTTACAGACAGACAGACAGACGGACAGACAGACAGACGGACAGACAGACGGACGGACGACGGACGCATTACTATCGCATAAGCTCTTCTGGTCTCTGACCAGTAGAGCTAAAAAATTAAATCACATGAAAGAAGTCTTGATATCATAATGTTTTAACAAAAATTTTAGTCAAAATCATATCTCATCTTATCGAAAAATCGGACGGAAGACCTACTCGTTGCTCGCAACGAGATCGTTTCTAGTTATTTTTCTTCTTCTTCCTGGGTACTTTTTTGTCCGCGAGTGATCTTGTTAACTGTTCACCCGAAGTAGGTAAAACCCTTTTAGGGTTAGTAGACATGTTATGTAGATTTGCGGAATCAAGGTCATTTTGCGCGCACGTGCTTGCAAGAGCGCGCACGTGCAACACGTAAAATGACCAATATAATAAATATGGCCGTAACTTCTCTATTTTTTGGTTATATGCTTTGAAACTCATAATATAAATATATAATAGTATTATACACATGATGACATGATCAAAATGGCGAGATCTCACACGCATGCACGTGCGCTTTGCTCTGATTGGCTGAAACTAAAGTCTCAAAATCTTTCTTGTTTTACGTCATAATCCTTTGAAATTTTGAACTTAGTCACACATTATGAAGATCTACAGCACGATATATAATAATTTTCATGAAAACACGTACATGCGCGTGTGCTGGCAAGAGCGTGCATGTGCAACATGTGAAATTACCAATATAACGGATGAAGTCGTAACTTTTCTATTTCTTGATGGAATTTTTTGAAGCTCACAATGCATGAATATATTACACTGTAGTAGTATAGACAAGATGACATGGTCAAAATTGCAAGATCTTACGCGCATGCACGTGCGCTTTGCTCTGATTGGCTGAAACTAAAGTCTCAATATCTTTCTTGTTTTACGTCATAATCCTTTTGCAATTTTGAACTTAGTATTAATTATGAATATCTACAACATGATATATAACAATTTTCATGAAAGCACGTACATGCGCGTGTGCTGGCAAGAGCGCGCACGTGCAACATGAGAAATTACCAATATAATGGATGAAGCCGTAACTTTTCTATTTCTCGATGGAATTTTTTGAAACTCACAATGCATGAATAAATTAGTAGCATAGACAAGATGATATGGTCAAAATTGCAAGATCTTACGCGCATGCACGTGCGCTTTGCTCTGAATGGCTGAAACTAAAGTCTCAATATCTTTCTTGTTTTACGTCATAATCCTTTGAAATTTTGAATTTAGTAACACATTATGAAGATCTACAAAATGATATATAAGAATTATCATGAAAGCATGTAAATCCACGTGTGGTGCAATCTGATTGGCTAAAACTTTACATGCCTATATCTTTCTTGTTTCTCAACAAAACAGGACAACGTTTAGAATATGAATAGGTATTATGGATTCCTACATGATACTGCTATCAAAATTGAATGCAAGGACGTGCTTGCATGCACTTGCCCACACGCAATGTGTAAAATGAACAATATGTTTGAAAAACGATAACATTTATATTTTTATGACTTTTTATTGATTTTTGGAATATAAAGATATGTTTATGGTTTAGACAACATGCCATGATCACCTTGCACGTGCATATACATGCGTTAAATGACAAAAAGTTGATATCATTGTAGCTTTTAAAATTCTTCAATGAAATCCTGCGATACTAAGCATATTTAAAAAAGTTTTAAAGGAAATGTGCACAAAAAGGGAGTTGGGGAGCGTTTGGGGAACATCTGTAACGGTCCCCGTTACAATTAGAACTAGTTTTCATTCTGTTGATACAATTCAGATTTATTACTGTGTGGACATAATTCACTTTTAATGATTCAGGCTTACAATCCCTAAATAGAATGGACAGTTGCCTCTTACAGATATAACTCATCTTCAATGGTTCAGGCTTACAATCCCTGAACAGAATGGTCAGTTGACCTTTACAAATATAACTCACCTTCAATGATTCAGGCTTACAATCCCTGAACAGAATGGTCAGTTGCCCCTTGCAATCTCCCAGAAGACGAGGCTTTTCTGTGATGCCTGACAATTTCACCTCTTTATCCAGGACTGCCCCACACAAAATCATATTCAGTCCTAGTTTATGTTCTGGTACTTTCTGTTTTATGTCTGCCACACATTTAATGTCATTTTTCTTGGTGACACTCAACTCACAAGTTCCCTTAAAAAACAGAAAAAAATCAAATTACACTGAAATTTTCTAACAAGTCATAAATATACGATTGAAAAATTAAACAATTTGAGTCCTCCTTTTTTTCTTCCTGTAGAAAAATAACCATGCCTGTGTCAAAAAAGTATTATTAGTCCCCTACCAGTGAAACCGGAGGGGACTATGTTTCCTCTGCGTCTGTCCATTGGTGCGTCTGTCTGTCCCCATGTGACGGCTATGTCTGTCTGTCAGTCTGTCCTACTTGGTTTTCCGTACTTTTTTTCTAGATGCTTGCAGATATTGAGCTAAATTTTGGTATGTGAGTGTGTCTTGATGAGTTACAGATCAAATTTGAATGTTGTTTCGCTTCACTGATTTTTGACAGAATTACGGCATTTTTAATTTTTCATAATGTTTTAAGATCGGGTTCGTGCTGTGCTAAATTCCGAAGTTTAACTTGTTAAACATGAAGCGAGAAAAAGACGTTGAAAAAATGAGATGAATTTTAGTCTTTGTATGAATTGGATTATTTTATTTTGGTTAAAGGGATGCACAACCTCAAAATTTTAACATCAAGCAGTTTTACCTTGGTCATAATTTTGCATATCATAAAATGACATCCTAAAGAAAAAGGGGAACCCAGTAGGGGACTTGTATTGCTTATGCAATACTTTCAGAATGCTTGTTAATTTAAAGAAAGCATCAATAAAGTTCATATCAAGAAAAAAAATGATTACTTTAAGATTGGCTACCGAGTGCAAATTTTCCTGATTAGTAGCCATTTTTGACATAAAGGTCATATGTCAGAGAAATTCATGCTGAAAAAGTACCGGTATAGAGAAATATGACAAAGTACCACCCTTACCTTGGCTCTACGTATGAACAATTTCTAAAACAAGGCAAGTTACTGACAAACAATATGATGAATTAAGAATATCAGCAGTCTCATTTAAAGTCACCATTTTGTAAGTTCTGTGGTCAATACAATGTATAATGACCTTGTCAGCAAATACAATCTGGTGACTGGCATTACCTTGGGTGAGAGTGAGCCAGTTAATTGGAGGACCTGCACCATAGAGTCCGACATCATGACTGTTAGTTCCTGACCCTGGAACATCATGTTCATTACCCAACTTCCACTGTCCACAGACCTAAATATAACATAATGATGTACCCCAAGCTGTATATACATGTATCTTCAGCTCATATATCGTATAAATAGAATTTTTAGCAAGGATTTAATTTTGGCATTATTAGCAAGATTGCAAAGATCACTAAAAATCAATTGCATTTTTTTTGTAATAGCTTCTTAAGTGAGCATTTAAAAATGCTAAAATTACTTATCGCTAAAAATAAAATACCAATTTTTATGGAGAAATTGCTAAATTTGCCTCTCCCTAAAATTTCCACTTATGCAGTAATTCTCAAATGAATCAAGATTATTACTTAGCATGCACACATCTCAGTTTTCTTACCCGAGCTCTATGGTTTTCAGTGGAGATTTCTGGTCAGTGTTGATGACGGTCACCCTGGCTCGGTCCCACTCTGCACTGACCACTACCTGACCACTGCTAGCCTTGGAAGCCTTGTGCCACACGACGCACGTCACTGGAGATTTCATCTTATATCTGTTCACCTTCCTCATTCTGGAAATCAAAATCACAGTCTGTATGGGAACAGGACAATGCACAAATCAAATAATAATTTAAATTTTATTGCCGATGCATAGCAAGAGGCAAGACCCTCAAAGTGATGTAGCATATTGATAATCATAGTTTCCATAACCCTAAATAATTAATAATGTAGTATACATTCAAATTCTATGAAAGAAAAACAGATTAAAAATGGATACTCAGCTGTAATAAATTTACAGTTATAAAAAAGGAGCAAGAAAATTGAAAAAAAATCTTATTGGTCTTAACAGCTATGGTGAAGTAGTTTAGAGTATTGTCAGGTATTTTCCTACTGTTCTGTGACTACAATGACTTACAATGTGGCGGCTCCCCCTTGGCCTCCCTGACATTTCCACTCATAGAACATTTCATCGTCCCCTCCTGTTACAAACTTCTTACCGTCGTGCCCCACAAAACAGCCAGTGTTCACTGACTTAGCATGCACCTGTAAGGTCATATAATCAGTGTTATGAGGAAAGATTCAACATCTACCATATTAAATGTACAAACTTATAAAATTCAATGCACATGTAAAATGTACAGGAGAAAACAAACTAAACTTGTAGATTACCTTAAAGAAGATGAAAAACTTAACAAGAGGCCCAAGGGCCACATTCAAATGAGCAAATTGAAAAACACAAATCAGATCAAAAATGAAAAGTTTACTCAGTTGTAATAAATTTACAGCCTTCATATTAATACAGCATATGACTTTGCTGTTCTTGATAAAAGGATTTTTTAAAAACATTTTCTTCCTATACTATCACTAATCACTGCTTTGAAGTACTTGAGAAGACGATTTTCCTATAAATTCCTATGTAAAACTTTGATCAGCCATTGTGGCCCCATCCTACCCCTGGGGGTCATGATTTGTATAAACTTGAATCTACACTACCTGAGGATGCTTCCACATGAGGTTCATCTTTCCTGGCCCAGTGGTTCTTGAGAAGAAGATTTTTAAAGATTTTCCCTATATACTCCTATGTAAAACTTTGATCGACCATTGTGGCCTCGCCCTACCCCCGGGGTCATGATTTGAACAAACTTGAATCTACACTACCTGAGGATGCTTCCACATGAGTTTCATCTTTGGCCCAGTGGTTCTTGAGAAGAAAATTTTTTAAAAATGCCATTAATTTTTCACTAATTCATAATTATCTCCCCTTGGAAAAGGGCGTGGTTATAAGAACATATATAATCCCCTTCACCTAAGGATACTTTGTGGCAAGTTTATAAAATTCAATGTACATGTAAAGATGAAAATGTGAAAATTAAACTAAACTTGTAGACAACAGACAAATTTTGATCAGAAAAGCTCACTGGAGCCTTCGGCTCAGGTGAGCTAAAAAGAAGTTTTATGTCCATATCATTTATTAATTTTTAATAAATAATTTTAAGTGTGTTATAAATGCAGATTATATATGAACAAAGATATTTTTCCTGTAGTAACACAGTCAGCTCCTAGTGGTCCAAGTATAAATCAGAACCTACTTACCTTCAGTGACTGTACCAGTTGTGTGTCACCCGTGTCAGGGTGAAGTCTCCACAACTTAACATATCCATCCCTGTAAATCACAACACAATAATTAAATCATACTGTTACAGTAGGTGCTTAGGTGCTTCAGAAATGCCAGTGCATATAAAGATAATGGCTATTCAGGGTCTAACAAAATATCTTAATTGCTGTGAAGTCTTTCAAATTAAAACTGTTTTACATTACTTATCTTTCTTTTTGGAATGTGTTTATTATCAATTCTTAAGAAATCAATTTTTTTCCCAATAAAATACCATCTTTAAAAATATTTGAGTGACTTTCAATGAAATACCATATTCTTAAATATATTATTTTGAAATTCATTATTCTAAAAATGTTACTTTCTTTAGCAATTAAATGACCATTTCTTTTTCCTGCAAATTACTCTCTAAGGCAGATAGTAACTCAGTCACATGACAGAAAAATTCCCCGACCTGCTTCCTGTCAGTAGACTGTCACCGTCACTGGAGACAGAGGTGAAGGTCACAGGAGCGTCATGACAACTGGTCGCCGTCTCCGAACTGAGAGTTGGCTTCCACAGTCTGATGGATTTATCCAGTGAACTGGTACACAGGTTACCATGGGAATCAGAGGCCACACTTAGGATTCGGTCATCATGACCAGTTAAGTTAGCCAGCTCGTTTGCCTATAACGGGAAAAGTCAAGTTTTAAGCTTGAACCATACAACAGACTAAGCAGCAAGTGGCTAAATATTGAAATATCAGTTTATATTAACCAGTCAATCAGACATTTATGTTTAGTGGTGCAAGATATACAACACCCTACTAGCTTGGACTAGTGGATTAACCCTTTAGCTCAATGGGTACAGATTAGGACTGGCAATCTATAAGTCACAGGTTCAATCCCAAGTGGAGACAAAACCTGTTTCTGTTACATTTATAAAGTTTATTCTTGCACTGTAATGATATAAGACTATAAATCAGACCTGTAGTGGATTCCAGAGTCTGACGGTGCCGTCATCAGAACAGCTGGCCACCAGTACATCTTCCATGTCTATTTTGGGTTTCTTCTTGCTTGGCTTGGTTTCTTTTGGTTCAGCTGACCAATCGCTGACCACTTCCTCCTCTACAATAAAAATCACCTGGTCACTGACAACATTCATAATACAGGTAAATACCATAGGTGTGAGTTATCTGGTCAAACATCATACCACATGATTACAAAATTGACAATCTTTAACAGCAGCTTATGGATAAAATTGCAAGAAAAAAAAACCACTGACCCTCATCCACTTCTGAGGATTCTGACACCTTGACCACTAGGGCACAGTCATTAGCACACTGGGTGTGTCCGTGTAGGGTGGTAATTTCTGTACCTTTCTGTGACCACACTTTGACTGAGCCATCACTGCAGGCCGAGACAATGCAACCATACTACAACAGATGAAATCACGTTATACAGCTTAAGAAAATGACATTATATAGTTATACATTACTAAAAACCAAATTACAACAAATAATTGACATGTTATACAGCTCTACATCCATTATACGACTTAATGAACTTCCAAGACGATTATTTTATTTTTACTTATAATGACTTATCCTGAACTTAACAGAGGTGATGGTTTGTTCATGTACTAAAGATTTGTACTGAATTTAACAGAAGTGGTGATTGGTTAGAAATAAGACTTGCACTGAATTTAACAGACATAGTGATTGGTTAGTGTAAAGACTTACACTGAATCTAACAGAGGTGGTCATTGGTTAGTGTTTAAGACTTATGCTGAATCTAACAAATTTGGTGATTGGTTAATGTTAAAACTTACGCTGAATCTAACAAAGGTGGTGATTGGTTAGTGTAAAGACTTACACTGAATCTAACAGAGGTGATGGATGCCATGTGACCTGTCAGTTTGAACTTTTCTTCCCCCGTTTTCACGTCCCAAACTTTGAGATTGAAATCTACAGATCCTGTAACCTGTAGAGAAAAAAAGAAATTAATCATAAATGAATGATTAGGACATGAACAACAGAGAAAGTTTTCCAGTAAAGCTGTTATCATTTTATTTTCAGGGGGAAGGGGGCAATGCTAAAACTTAACCACTCAGTTGCTACAAAAATCATTTTAAGTATACTGTACAGCAGGAAATTAACTCGCGGAGTTAATATTCGCTATATTCGCGGAAAAAGAAATTCCGCGAATTCAACATACAGTGAATAATTCTTTAAAAAGATTTACTAGTATTAGGATAAACTGAAATTTTACTGTTACCTGTGATAAGATTCTTTAAATCTATTTAATTATCTTTCCGTACAAGCACAAAGACAGTAATTGATATATTCGAGATGTAGACTGTCTTTATAATTATGGGGGTATATGGATTAATTACAAACTCATAGTTGTTGTTGATGTTTTTAAAGCTTATTAAAGTTAAATAGATTTCTATAGCTAATAATTTATTTTGCCACCTAGTACAGCTGTAGACATGCGATGTAATTATCTAATAAAACATACTTGTTTAATATTCACCATTGCGTATCATTCGGTCATTACATTTAATCAAGGCACTTACGTATTAAACAGGGTAAAGGCAATTATTTGATTTTAAAAAATTAAAAATTTGATTACGGTACAATTTTTTTTTTTGATTTGGACTCGAAAATTAAAATAATTAAATCTGAATGCGTAACATTGTGTTGACTTCAAATCAGGATCAGTCCAGTGTTTCGTAATTCAATCGAGCTCAAAATCGACACAATATATAGACTTGCCTTGTCTGTCTGATATACAGACTTTGGGAAGATAGAGACGATAGGAAATATCAGTCTACACAATAAATACCTAAAGAAAAATGCTTGCAGGTACTGTTAAAAAAATGTATGATTTTTCCTTTCCGCGAATTCAAACGACCGCGATTTGTCGAAAATTGAACAAATCGCGATCTTTTCCGACCGCGATTTTAACCTGCTATACAGTATGTATCAAGAAAATTAAGGTATGAAATAATTACAAAGCTAATTTATTTTTATTAACCCTTTTTTTTTGGTTACAAAAATCACCAAGGGTGGCTGTGTAATTTATTTGATTCCCAGATCTAATACATTGTAATTGGAAAATTAAAAGCATACTGCAGCCACTCACAGCTATCATAGCTGGGATACATTTTTTGATCTATTATTTAAAACCCTTGGTTACATACAAGGTAATCTCCGATGTTTGACCACTGACAATCTGTGATCCAGTCCGAGTGACAGGCATGAAGTTTCTGGACGGGGGCGGGGTCAGTGGGGTCAAGGAGACAGCCCAGTACATCCCAAATATACACCGACTGTAGGGAAAAAAAAATACATTCATATGTAAACAAAAGACCGTAACTAAATAGGTACTTCATCTCTACTTGATAATTTATTTGTAAACTTATTTCTTCATATTGAATGGATTAACTATACTGTACAAAACAATGAATTATTCTTTGATTTTCAAATAAATAAAAAGAAAATTTCTTAAATTGCAATTAGATTACTAAGATAAACTCACAGCATCTCTGCTGGCAGTGGCCAGTTTGGAGACATCGGAATTAAATGTACAGCTTGTGATTGGTCCAGTCTGACCCCGTAAGGTCAACATCTCTTTCAATCGTCCTCTACAAATATCAGGGTAGCTTAATTAAAATTATATATAGTGTGGCAGTGAAAGATATATACATGTATCAGGTACTGACATATTTATTTCTATCACAGAGTCTTCTAGAGAATCATCAAGAATAATATCTCGAAAAAAGTTTGTATCCCTTAAAATTTAAACAATCCTACTGAAACAACAGTTATAACTCCTCAAAGAAGTGGTAACAAACTCAAACAAAGTATGTGTCTTCTGGTTTAAATCATCACACCCCTCACACCCCCCCCCCCTTCTTTACATTATTGTACTATAAAGTTTGATCCTTCCATGTGTTGCTCAGTGTCCCCATGTTTACATTAATTATTGACTATATTGTTTGATCCCCCCTCCCTCGTTTGATACATGTACTCACCCCTTAGTTTTACTGCTGACACTGGGATACACCAGGCACTGGTTGTCCTCAGTTCCAACAGCAATATAATGTTTGGAGACTGTCACACACATGAGGGGGCTGCCAGCTACCATTGTGGCCACTACACTCCCTGGCATACTGAACACCTGAAAATGGACCAAAAAGGCAACTATCAGGAAGTATTCACAGATACTGCAACAATCTGATCACTTGAAAATGGAAACTCAACAAAAATCTTTTTAAATTTCAAATCAAGAAGCATTATTGTCAAATAAGTGCTTTTAGAAAAGATAATAGCTGTAATTATTACAGTTGCAATGCAGTCTGCAGACGCTGAGACCAGATAATTTCCACACGGACTAAAGGACAATCGGCGTACTGCTGCTGAGTGGGGGTTAGAACTGTTCATCAGGGACCCTGAAAATATGTCAGTAGATTGTCATATCAGTCACGTAACATTAGTACGTAAGCCTACAGAGTAAAATCAATAAGACAGAACTTATAATGACTGATACCTGTAGCAACGTCATAAAATCGAATGAACCCCTCGTGGTACCCCACAGCTAGGGTTTCCCCGTCAGGTGAGAGGGCCACCGACTTCACTGGTCCATCATTCTCTGTCCCCAGACATTGAAGGGGCTTACCCATGTGTCCTGACCACACCTAATCAGCAGATTATCATAAAATATTAAAATTCTAATCATCTTAGTAAGCCACAGGTTTTGAGTAAATTCTATCTCCACAAATGCAAATAGAATGGACTCAAAATCTGTAGTTTGTGGTGAACTCTTATTTGATTGAATATACATGTGTTGACCATAGAAACTGATTCACTGAATTTTAAATACATGTACAAGTATATCAGTAGTTGTTATTTTAGTCTGAGATAGATCAGCTATTTATGTATTTAAAATCAAAACTATATACCTTGCTCTTGTGATCAATAGTAACCTTTGCCATTGTTGTAAGTTATACAATTTGAATCATGAATTGATCTGATACTAGGTAAAATGTTACCTTGATTTTATGATCATCACTGACTGTGATCAGATTTCTTCCCGTCGGAGAGAATGTAAGCTTGTTGATTGGCAGAGAGTGCCCTCGTACATTTCCCACCTGTTAAAGAACCAAAAACATGTCAAAACTCAACAGTGTCTAAATCAAAGGAACTCTGCTCCTATTAATTTGTACATACAATGCTATAAGTAATTATAATTATAGATCTACATTACACTACCCTCGCCTTACCTGAGTTCCTTTCTGTGACTCCCACAATTTGACGTCACCATCCAACGCTGCTGAGGCAATATAACGGCCACAGGGAGAATATGCCACATCTCGGACAGAGGAGTTGTGGCCCCTCAGTACCTAAGAATTTATACATTAAAAATTTAAATACTGTAGATCACTTAAATTTCGCGACACCTTATTTTCGCGAGATAGTCATTGACTCTTAATTAGCGAGACAAAATTTTCACGAATTCTGGTTATTGTTCTATATAATCTTAAGGAATACTATTATGCGCGAGAATTCAATTTTCGCGAGCATACTCTCTCGTGTAATTACGCGAAAATAAAGTTCTCGCGAATAAAAAGTGATTTACAGTATGACACTGCTTTCCCCTTGTATGAAACTGAAGAGTTGCTCGTGTTCTCTTTACCACTGTATCTTTTTGTAGGTATTATGACATTATCATTTTAATTTAGATAATATTGGGATAAAGTTTTAGGTCAAGTCTAACTCTTTTAAACTTGGTGTACATAACACTATAGAATTCTAATACTGCAGTTGTCTAAGAATTATACCAAATGGCAAAATTTTCTTTCTTTACATAAAGAACTTCTTTACACCCTCCCCCTTCTATTATCAAAATACATAAATCCTGTACAAACATATACTTACTGCTCTCCTTGTTTTGTGGAAGACATCCCAGATTTTGAGGGTGGAGTCCCACATTCCAGTCACAATCAGCTGTCCCTCAGGGTGAAACGATACAGCATTTACAGGGCTGTAAATTAGACTCAGACTTAGAAATTGGTGAAATGATACAGCATTTACAGGGCTGTAAATTAGACTCACAATGATACAGCATTTACAGGGCTGTAAATTAGACTCACAGGGATACAGCATTTACAGGGCTGTACGTTAGACTCACAATGATACAGCATTTAGAGGGCTGTAAATTAGACTCACACTTAGATATTGGTAAAATGATATATCATTTACAGGGTTGTACATTAGACTCACACTTAGAGAATGGAAAGGTTAGTGTTTTTGCTGTAAGCATGATTCAATGTATTTGACTCCTTTTCTTATCAACCCAGAAAACTATGATACATGTTCTTAACAATTCACTGTGAGAAACACTTTAAAAACTCCTTGAAATTTTAAAATATTGATATATTCAAACCCTAGTAGAACTACATGACTGTCTATCAGTGAATTTTGTCTGACAGTGTAATATGCTGTCTATCAGTGAATGTTTGACCTTACCTGCCCACTTTAAGGTCACACACACACTCCCCTTTCATGACGTTCCACACTTTGACGGTGCAATCCCATGATGCTGAAGCCAGAGTTTTGCCGGACACATCAGAGGCAATAGATTGGACCCTTCTCTTGTGTCCCTTTAATATGTGTATCCTGAAATTAAGTTTTAAAATTGTCATTTTATGACATTCATAACAGTCAAATGGGCTCACTAACTGAGTAGTGGAAAGCTATATCTCCTGCTTCTCTCTTTTGTGGGCTTATATTTAATTGATTTAAATTCTAATTCATTTTGAAAAGTGGCTTTTAGGATGCCAAGATTGCTTATAAACAAAGAACTCCAATTTTGTGGTACAAAATTCTTGTCTTCATTAATTTGTCTTCATTAATTCCACTGAACAACCTTTTTGGGAAAAATATGATAATTTTTCCATGATAAAAACTCATGCGTTCTATAGTAAAAAAAAATGTCTTAAGACTAGAAATTAAAAGCCAACATTTTAGATTTCAAAATTAAGTGCAGGTAACTTTGCACAAAAGAGACAGCATCACTGACCTGTGTCCATCATCTAGGTGCCACACACTGATGTTGTTGTCAAGAGAGGCACTGCAGACATGTGACCTCCCAGCAAAGCAGACGTCAGTGATGACATCAGCGTGTCCATGGAAACTTCTTACTTCCTGTGGTACATCAGAGAGATACATTTATAAAAACGAATCACAATTTAAAAACATGTGAAATGAAACAAATATGGAGTGTTTGAATGGTTTACCTTTCCTGTCTCCAAATCATGAAGATGAACAACGCAATCAAGGCCTCCACAAACAAAGAAAGCATTATCCTTACTAATGGCTACACAGGTCACAGGCTACAAGAGAAAGACTTACTATGAAAGGCAGTCTTCATGAATTGTCTGAATCAGATTGCAAAACAATAACTTTTTTACAGTGAAATATATTTAAGTGCTGCTCATCACAAAATGATCAATGAAAGGTGTAACAAATATTGATGGCAGGTTGAAAATGATGCAATGTTTTTAACTTTTCTAAGACAGGGTGTCAAGGACAAGCTTATGCTAATTAAGAATTTTACAAATGACAAGAAAATACATATTTCTTCTGACAATTTATTAGACTGAGTTAACTCTGTGCTACCTGTGGTAGGTTGCTGAGGGTGAGGTAATTAGGATCCTCGGTTTGCGGGCGGTTAGACCACCTGAAGTACGTCTCGGACTGGTGTTTGGCCGAGTCCAGTGTTTTGGTGCCGTCCTTGTAAGGCTCGCTGTCCATGATGTCATTTATGGCCTGCTGCCACGTCAGTGATGGATACCTGATTGAAAATATGTGTGAGTCTGTCACAGATTTCTTTGTTGTACATGTATATGCAGACTATGGAATTTTCAATGTATTAATCAGCAAATAGCCAGATTTTACCACATATTTAAGAGGAGTCAAATATCTAAAACAAAATCCAGTGGCTTAATTTATAAACTGGCTGCAAGAAAAGAGAGACCAGATTACCACCTACTCATTCAAAAGGTGGATGTTGCGAGACACAAACATCTTGTATTCCTGGTAACAATGAAGTCCCATCACTTTCTGCTGGTCACGCTCCATTGTTCTGTTGGTGAATTCTACACAAGAATTATTTATACGAAAATTATATTCTAGTATCAAATTTTACTTTCAATACCTGCTGTCAAAAATAAATGTTACAAAAATTATTCTCTAAAATAATTTCAAAAGTCATCATAGGTTATCATAGGTTATGTTTTGTATTTATATACATATATTTTCCATCCCCACGATCTTACATAAGTCCATACACAAGCTAGACCACACTAACAGGAAATCTGATACTGGTCCTATAGCCTCACCTTTCTCTTGGTAATCTTCCAACAGAATCTTTCCCAGACCAAGCCGACATTTGTTACTGATAAATTCCAAACTACACAGCACCTTCACAAGAACCTTGAACTCCCCTCCATAAGCCTGTATAAATAGGAAATCAATACAATGTCCATAGGAAATCACACTATTTTTGTGACATGTTATTTTTACAAGTATGCTATTAATTTTTGTGACATCTTATTTTTATAAGATTGATATTTGGTATTGATAAACAAGGCAAAATTTCCATGAATTTTGGTCACTGCTCAATAAAATCTTAATTATAGAAATATATATGAGAATTTACATTTTGGAAGCAGACAGTCTCAAGTTATTTCATGAAAACGTTATTCTTGTGAATAGAACATAATTAACAGTGGATGAAGTCAATAAAATGTCCGTAAAAACTCCTTTAAACAATTTATACCAGGTGATAAGGTAGTTCTGAGAATCCCCTGATGCTGTTTCCATTGTACGATCCATCGTGATCCGGATCTACCAGCTGGAGGAAGTATCCGGCCATCAGCCGGTGTAATCCGGACTCTTTGTCATGGGAACTCTTCATGTAACGAGATCTAACAGCTGCCGCTACATCAAGGTGCGCGAGGGACAAACAGGTGTTTCTGTCAAAGTAATGGGGGATTTTACTAAGATGTATGTAAAGACAAAAGTTCTCAATCATGGTACCATATTTTAAAATAATTACATGTTACTGTTAATAGTAATTAAACAGAAAGTTTTTTTCAGAATTTTAAGGGGGCCGAGTGGGGTTTTATTGCGTGAAAACTACAATTGCAAAACTATTCATTTTTATACCATATATAACTTACATTAATTTTAGTGTACAGGTAAAGTTTGAGCGAAATCTAACGTCCAGGTATTTTTAATGGACCGTCTCAAAATATAGGTACATTTACTATAGAATTATATAGGAAAGTGCCAATTTTTAGCACTTTAAACCAAATTATACAAATACTACAATAGAGTTTTTGTTCGAACTATAATATATAATTAATTATAATACTATATTGTACATTATGTGTAAGAAACACAAAATTCTACCGTCTTGTTACCAGAGGGGGCAAAAATTAACGAATTTTCCTGTTTTTATTGAGTGCTACAAATTATGAAAGGCTCAAAGGTATTATATGAAAAATAGATAAGAGTAATGAAGAGATTCTCACATTTCTATCTTTTGAATTTCAAGAGCATGTGTCTATTACTTTTTATTTGATAACATTTTTATTACCCCTATCTTTAAGAGTTTCAGTTTATCATAACGTCAAAACACTCGAACAAGGTCAACCTACCTATCAGTTGCAAAATCTGTTATAAATTTAGTTATATAAAATTGTAACTACATTTTTAAACCTGTAATTTCTTAATTTTTAAAAATTTTATTAATCAATTTAAAAAAATTGCTTTAAAACAGTAAATACGCATCATTTTACTATGATGTGCGAAATATTGAGCAAAGAAAACTACAGTCGCCCCCCTTAAATGGTTCTACAAATATTTTAACATTCTAACGATGTTAAAAGTCAATATCTTCATATCAACATATTTTTCTACTCTCAGAATTTAAAATTCACTTAATTGTGTTTGTAATAATTACGTGTTTTCGTGTGGATTCAGGAAAGTCTGTAGAGATCTACACAGGTGGGAGAACGCCGCGGTGGGCATCATTTTGTCTGGGGACAGGAGAATGTTATAGACAGTGTCTGCGGTGTAGTTAGTGGTGTCTAACAGATCGTGGAGACTCAGAAGATCATGGAGTTCCTCTGGCATCAACCCTAAAATAGATACATATCATAGTTATAATTCATTGGTTTATGGAGTGTCTGCTCAGAGCCTTTTAAAGATTTGCACATTAATATATTTCTTTTCCATAGACTCTAATATAAAGAATTACAAGCTAATTCAGAGCGTCCCCCGCTTGTGACTGAATTTGTAGAATTATTAAATGTATACATGTATACTGAAGGAAATAAAATACATGTTTGTCAATATGCATATAAAGATTTGATTGCTTATTCTTTATTATGTGTATAGAAGATTTTTTATATGGAATGTTTATCACACTGAAATGATGATTTTATAACCTCATAAATTTTTCATTTCACATGCTGAATACTATCATTTAGTAAAAAAAAAAAAAAAAAAAATTTAAAAAAAAAGAAAAAAAAAAAGAAAGGATCGACCGAGATTCGATCCCGGGACCTCTCACATTTGAAGCGAGAGACATAACCACTACACCACGGAATCGCTTTACACGGTGTGAAGTATATGCAGAATTGAAGTCACATACATGTATATATTCATGTTTTCATGTTCGGTATTCTCAAAATTTTACACAATCCATGGTGTTTGATTTATTTAGCCTTTATTAAACAGTTCTAATAGATGTAATAAGAACATAAAGTCCGCCGAGAACCTGTTTTATACGCAATAACTCCCCTCATGCCCCTGCGCTAAAAATAGCGACATGTAATACTATAAATACTAATAAAACAAACGGGGCGGGGCACTTTGAGAGGGGCGAGAGACGTCCTAGGGAGTTTTGGTATAAAATTACGTTGCATAAGCTCAAAATCTTCTTGAAATATCGCCCGGAAATGATAGTATTACATACAGACAGAATGTATAAATTTACGACCTTGAACTTTGACCTTTTGACCTCAAAATGAATAGAGGTCTTCATTAGGCCACAGGGAGTTGTTATATAAAATTTCATTGCAATAGACTCGTGTAAGTGTTTTAGTCAGAATTTGCTTATTTATGACCTTTTCAAGCGGGGGACAAAAATAAAATGGCTGTCTTACCATCCCTGCTACAGACTAGTAAGCACATTGCCAAGGATACGACCTCCTGACCCAGATCTGACTCCAGGCGACTGAGGACTTCCTGTAACATCTGGGGGACAGTCTGAGGGAGGGACTTTAACTTACTGGTCACCTACGAAAGCATTAAAAAAAAAACACTGTTAATTACAATCAGTCATAAAAATCTGTGTCAATTACTATTCATTCTCATTTTGTTATTTGTGAGAAGAATCCCCTGAGGTTTTTTTTTCCCCAGATCAATAAACAGTGTCCCTAAAATATAGCATTTCTGTTCACTAGGTTAACATACATGTACAGTATGTATAAGAATATGAAACTTTAAATGTTGTGCTAACAGACAGACAATGACATGAGGTTTAGCACTCTAACCATTTCAAATTTTCCAAACACCCTCAGTTCCTCACAAGCCAACTTTAAGAACAACGGGTTTCCAGCATCCTTCTTCCCCATCAAGAACTTCATCTATATAAGTAAATTACACTAACAGTTAGCCACATCGCTTCATTTTTCATTTGTGGTTTACTACTTTTTTCTCTTTAAAAAGGACTAGATTCATCTACTGTAATTTTATGTTCAATTGGTAAACACTGTAGAGGGTATGAAATGAAAAGCATCCAACTTTTTCCAAACTGTTTTGTATTCATTAAAATGGGAGGATTTTATAACCCTATAAGATGGGAGAGCAGTGTTTCAATGAACATTTTCATTCTAAACTATCTGTCAATCAAAGATAAAGGGGCATCCCAACTGATACTATCACTTCTTTTCCAAACAAAGTTTGCTGGTCAATTTATGCTTCTTTGACTGTGACAATACCTAGGAAGCTGTAAAATTTACCTGATTTTTGAAAGGAGACTCATCCAGCTTTTTCCTGTATACTGCTAGATTGTTCCTAACAACCTCAGCCTTGTCAAACATGTCAAGGCCACCCACAATGACCTCTGTAAAAGGTCGTCTCTTTAGTGATCTGTGGCATTTTCCACCATCCAATGTTGTCATCACAAACACAACATTCTGAAGTCAAAAGATGCCAGGATGAATGATCTATTAACTAAAGCTAAGATTTAAGACAAATACAGCGAACTCGTCTAATTCAGATGTTGTACAATATAAAAACTTTGTCTAATACAGTGTAAACTTTCTTAAGTCCTTTTTAGTATATTCTAATTTTTTATGTATTTACACAATTAAATTATGTAGGACGCTGTTTATCTTTACTGATTATTGTTTTTCATTCTATGAAAGTACAGTAGTAAATTCCTCACCTTTGATAAGTTTTGAGGCAGCCACTCTAAGTTGTAGGGTTGGTGGGTGTTTTCCATCATGTCAAGGCCATCTATAAATATCACCAAGGGTGAGGAGCATGAAGCAGCACCCTCTTCCAGTAACTCACCAAACTTCTGGGTCAAATTTCTGTCACAAGATTATGTAATTATTATTAAAAGTCAATAATTTTTTTTAAATTTTAAACTTGAATTTTTTGTCACAAAGTCAAACTTCATGTAATAAAATTCTTCCAAATTTTAAACTTTTTTTATCATAATTTGCTTGAAAAGAAAAAACAAAACAGCTTTTTCTTCAAAGTATTTCTTAGTTGTGAAAAAAATTTGAAGGCATAAACATCATATCGCCTTTAAAATATTAATGTTTTCAAATAATAAATTTGCTTTGGCTTTCTTTTTCTAAAAATAGGTTCAAAAAGTCATTCAGAGCAGAGAAATCCTTTTCTTATCCTTCTTATGATAATACAGAAGTCATTACTTGAAGTCCTCTGGAATCTCAGTGTCCACAGCAAACTGTCTCCTGAGCTCATAACACAACCTCCTCAGGGTCGCCACAATGTTTGTGGAGCCAGGGGCGGCACCCACGACGTGAACCAGTACCGAGTGAGCGCCATCACTCTGTGGGTTCTCTATGTAGCTGTGGACAATTGCCGACTGAAAGCACATCCAAACACAGATTATTTCTTTAAACTATCATTGAAGATGAATCAATCAAGTTTTAATTGCTTATATAAAAAGAATCTTTATTTTTTTCTAATTTTAAGCATGCAATATTATCTTTATTTTCCCAAGTATTATAATATTCTTTTTTCAAATTAAAATAGGAGAAGCAAGGGCATTGAAATAAATCCCCTGTAAGATAGTACAGTAGGATCCCTACCAGAAGTGCCGTTTTCCCGGTCCCGGCCTTGCCGTTCAGTGCGATGATGTTGGACTTTCTCTCTATGATGTGTGCCACACATTCCTTGATCAGTTTCTTCCTTCCCACAAATTTCTCCTTGTGACTCTCCACCACTGCCTCATGTTGCTTAGCAACATGTATGTTTTCATCCAAAATGGCCTCCTGATAAATTGATATCAATAAGTCATTAAAATTTTCATTTTTAGCTTGAAGTTAAATCATAAAGATGAACAACAGGCCCATGGGCCACATCGCTCACCTGAGTGCTATGGCTAGGAAAAAGTAAAAATTGGTTTATTATTGAAAAGTTTAAATCCAAAAGTAGTCCCATGACCAATCATGGCTTTGCTATTCTTGAGAAGAAGATTTTTAAAGAATTTTCCTATATATGTCTATGTAAAACTTTGGTCGGCCATTGTGGCCCCGCCCTACCCCCGGGTCATGATTTGAACAAACTTGAATCTACACTACCTGAGGATGCTTTCATATAAATATGATCAATTATGGCCTTGCTATTCTTGAGAAGAAGATTTTTAAAGAATTTTCCTATATATGTCTATGTAAAACTTTGGACAGCCATTGTGGCCCCACCCTACCCCGGGGGTCATGATTTGAACAAACTTGAATCTACACTACCTGAGGATGTTTCCCCATAAGTTTCATCTTTCCTGGTACAGTGGTTCTTGAGAAGAAGATTTTTAAAACATACCACCAAATTTTCATTAATTCCCAATTATCTTCCCTTGCATTTCAACAAACTTGAATACCCTTCACCCAAGGATGCTTTGTGGCAAGTTTGGTTGAAATTGGCCCAGCGGTTCTTGAGAAGAAGTCGAAAATGTGAAAAGTTTACAGACAGACAGACAGACGCCGGACAAAATGTGATTAGAAAAGCTCACTTGAGCCTCCGGCTCAGGTGAGCTAAAAAATTAGATAGCTTACTCAAATTACACAATGACCTGCACAAAGTCAAATCATAAAAGTTGATTCATTTGAAAAATGTTAAACAAACAACTTGTAGTTAAGTAAAACATGCACACAGCACATATTTCAATATTTTATCAGTATATATGCTTGATAAAATGCACATCTTTTTTGTTTTTTTGTTAAAGAGTATCTCACCTCATCTGGGTATGCCTTTTTAATGGCATTCCACAGGTTATTGAGGACTCTCACAGCAAACTTCTCCAGGCCTGCTACCATTGGTTTCCCATCGATAACTCCGCCCCAGTGACAGGGGTACCTGTGGTTAAAGAGAAATCAATTGTGTCAAACATACAGGTATCTAATGGATCAGTTAACCTTTTCATAATATTCATAATATTTTTATTCGAACAACTAAAATATATCCAACACACATTGTGCATCCTTCTTTAACTATTCTAGGTTTATGAAGACTCACCCTTTGTAGACCTCGAAGCCACTGAATTCCACCTGAGTCTTCAGATCTTCCAGTTTACCTCGGACCTGGGGATTTTCCGTCATAAACTCAGAGTGCAGCTCTTTTGGGAGGTCCCTGTCAAAGAACAAAACAGAATTTTATATTAATTAATACATGTAAACCAGAACAAAATAAAAATCCATAATTATATTTTTTACTTAAAAATATATAGGCATAACCACTAAACTGTAAATAACAGAAATGACAATTACTACACGCCCAAAAATCAGTACAAAAACAATTTACCAATTTTTCTCAAGACAAACCAGATATATATATATGTATCCATATATGCATAAAATATTTGAGTGACTTTCTGAAACTCACCTTTCAAAGCTATCATCGCGTATGTAGAAGAAAGCTTTTCCCATGCGTGTGCTGGGGTTGGACAGTGCACCTAAGTGCATCTCTAACTCTGTAACTGAAGCATTAGGTGGATAGGTCTTAAGCCAATCAAATTCCTCCATATCGGGTACATTATAGTTATCAGGGACATAACCATAGCGATTTCCCAGGATTCCCATGAAGAACTCACAAGTCATCACTTCTGAGAGACAGAGTTCAATTGCTCTGTAATATAAGAAGAAAAAAAAATCATCTCATAAATTAACTTGCAGATAAAAAAAAAAAAGAGACTTCCCCCAAAAGCATTTAAAAATTTATCCCCCCAAATAAAATGAGTAAATTCACAATATGTGTAATTGGATTTTGAAACCTGTTATTTATACTCATATTCTTTTTATGACCTTGACCTTTCCATGACCCCTGTATTAATACTCACCGGTTACTCTCCTCCTCTGTGATCCCCCACCTTAGATCCACTTCCTGTATGTTAATGAAGTGCTTCCTTCCAAGTGCTCGCAGTTCTGGGAAGACAAAGCGAGTCAGAACATCTCTTTCTCCGTGCATGTCTCGGAACGTGGAGGAGATAAACACTCTCGTCTTTCTCCAACTGAAATTTAATTAAAAGCATTTATCAAGTAGATCTATCAAAATATCTCCTTAAAATTACAGGGTACAGCTTTCTTTCCTATATATAAGCTCTGAGTTATTTCTGATTTCATTACCATGCATGAATTTTACAACTACCATCTCTCTTAACTGCAAAATCATGTTTTTTTTTTCTAAGGGTCAATTTTTTGTGTCTTGCAGAAAAACTATAATTTGTTGGGATTTGATTTCATGGTTGAAGAACTGTTGAATACTGTAAATCACTTTTTATTTGCGAGAACTTTATTATTTATTAAAGAAGGTATTCTCGCGAAAATTTCATTCTCGCGTATAATAGAATCCCGTAAGATTATATAGAGCAATGACCACAATTCGTGAAAATTTTGTCTCGCTAATAAAGAGTCAATGACTATCTCGCGAAAATAAGGTGTCGCGAAAAATAAGTGATCTACAGTAGTAACATACACAGACCTGTTTACCCATAACGCTGTCTCTCAGTATTTTTTATTAGAATTGTCCGTGAGATTTGGCATTTGCCAGTAAGATTTCACTTTCCATAAATATTACATATGTTAAAAGAGAAAAACTGCTTTTTGACTATTATAAAAACATGGTTTGATAACAAAGTTTTTGTTATTTAATAATACCACAGCAGCGTTTTGGCAGCCTGGCATCGCTTATGTGTTTGAAATCTTTCTCTTATTTTAAGCGATAAAAAGGGTGAAACTAAGACAGATCATAACAAAAACAAACTGCTAAATTCCAAACTTATGTATTTCCGATTTCCGTATTTTCATAATGGCAAAACGTGAGACGTATTTTAGACTAAAAATCCGTACAAAATACGGTGAAATCGTAAGAGTAAACAGGTCTGCATACATGACATTTCACACTCATCATAGATTTAAATTCATGGGTCTCTTCATTCTATGAAAACACCAAAAATTAAATCTCACAAAATTAGTGATTTCATAGTAAGTGCCATTGACAACACTGTACCTTGGTTTTCCTGAAAGCAGCACCAGGGGTTTCTCTGGTTTGGAGACAGGGACAGTCTTTGAGTTCTCCAGGGCTATCCCTGCCAGGGGTTTCAGGTTAAAAGCCTCGTCAATTTTCTCCACATGAATTAACTGCCCCCCTTCTCCCCTCTCTGCTATGAACCTGGAAATAAATTATATAATTTTATGATGATTTCCTTGGATGCTTGGAAGCTGAAAGTCTTTGTGATTTACTTATAAATAGCCTTCCTCATAAACAACTGTGTTTCATGAACATGTTTTAAATTGTCACAATGAAAATTTCTTTCAACTGACCTCTTCAATCAATGACAATAAGATATTAAGGTATCCATTGTACAAATGGGTAAAATTTTATGCCTGGAAACCCTATGATTTAATGTTCTAAAATCAAAGTATGGGTCATGACAAATAAACAAGAGGCCCATGGGCCACATCGCTCACCTGAGAAGCTTTGACCATTCTGTTCTTTACCAGATTTCCCCCTTGTAATACATTATGTATCCCCACCCTACCCCACTGATCATAATTAAGACATTTTGAAATCAACTACCCCAGGATCCTTCCATGTGCAAATAAGTTTCAGCTTTTCTGGCCCAGTGGTTCTTGAGAAGAAGATTTTCAAAGATTTTTCCTATATATTTTAATGTAAAACTTTGATCCCCCCATTGTGGCTCCACCCTTCCCCTGGGGGTCATGATTTGAACAATTTAAAATCTACATTACCCAAGAATGCTTCCACATAAGTTTCAACTTTTCTGGCCCGGTGGTTCTTGAGAAGAAGATTTTCAAAGATTTTTCCTATATATTTCTATGTAAAACTTTGATTCCCCATTGTGGCCCCACCCTTCCCCCGGGAGTCATGATTTTTACAATTTAGAATCTACACTATCCCAGGATGCTTCCACATAAGTTTCAGCTTTTCTGGCCCAGTAGTTCTTGAGAAGAAGATTTTCAAAGATTTTTTATATATATTTCTATGTAAAACTTTGATTCCCCATTGTGGCCCCGCCCTTCCCCCGGGGGTCATGATTTGAACAATTTAATATCTACACTACCCTAGGATGCTTCCACATAAGTTTCAGCTTTTCTGGCCCAGTAGTTCTTGAGAAGAAGATTTTCAAAGATTTTTCCTATATACTTCTATGTAAAACTTTGATTCCCCACTGTGGCCCCGCCCTTCCCCCGGGGGTATGATTTGAACAATTTAATATCTACACTACCCTAGGATGCTTTCACATAAGTTTCAGCTTTTCTGGCCCAGTAGTTCTTGAGAAGAAGATTTTCAAAGATTTTTCCTATATATTTCTATGTAAAACTTTGATTTCCCACCCGGGGGTCATGATTTGAACAATTTAATATCTACACTATCCTAGGATGCTTTCACATAAGTTTCAGCTTTGCTGGCCCAGTGGTTCTTGAGAAGAAGATTTTTTAATGACCCTACCCTATTTTTGTCTTTTCTTGATTATCTCCCCTTGCGAGGGGATATGTCCCTTCATTTTTACAATTTCAATTCCCCTTCTTCCAAGGATGCTTTGTACCAAGTTTGGTCAAAATTGGCCCAGTGGTTCTTGAGAAGAAGTCGAAAATGTGAAAAGTTTACAGACGGACAGACGGACGGACGGACAGCTAGACAGACGGAAGGATGACGGACAAAATGTGATCAGAAAAGCTCACTTGAGCCTTCGGCTCAGGTGAGCTAAAAATTGGGTCATCAGGGGCAACAACTCATTTAAGGAAGATAACTCTTGATGAAAACTAAAATCTAAGGGAAATCACATAAATTGGTATCCAAGAAGTTTATTCCATAACAATGACACAAAAATTACTTTTATATTGTAATATTTAAATAAAATTAAAGAATATTAAATAATAAAACATACTGGTCAGAGTGTTATTAGAAAAATTACAAAATGGTCTTTTTGTGAAAATAAACATTCAGGTTAATAATGTCTTTTGCAACATGCTTTTACCATGGAACATTAACATTTTGAAAGAGAAAATATTTATAATTACACAATATACATTAGAAAAGTCAAAACACTTTTCCCTTCAATTATTTGAACACGTTTTTTTCTTTTTTGCGAGTCAAAAATTATGAATGAATCTCATAAGTCAATGTATAAAATTGATTCATATAAATGAAAATGGTTTGAAGTTCTGCAAATGTGAATTTATAATTATGTCTAGAATTTAAAAATGTACACAAAAGAATAAAAAAAAATTTTAAACAGAAATACTGAGGTTAAAAAATTGATAGTGACAGTAAATTGTATCAAAGCAGAGTGATAAACATTTGATACAGAATGACTTAGAAAATAAATTTCAAGATTTGAATAATGACACAATAAATAGTACTTGTGATATAAATGTAGATACTATAAGGACTCTGACAGTATAAGCTCATAAGGTATGTGTTATACTTGTAGAGGATCCATAAAACAGACCAACTTGTTTAGACACAATTGATAAATTTATGTGGCAGCAAAAAATTCACACAACTTTGGGACAATATTTTGTAGAACTTAAGATGTTCCAGTCACTCTAGGTTTGCCATCACTGGTTTTGGGAGAAAACATAAATTAAAATCTATTTTCATCATCTCTGTCATAGCTATAGATCAGCTTTAGATGAGAAAGTGCCATCGTTTCTGCCAGACTCCTCTTCGTGAAACTTTACCAATCAGCACACACAAATACACGTAGTTCTTTGATTTTTCAGCATTGAACACCTGTTGAAAATGAGAAAAATATTTGTACTACAGATGATTGTTTCATACTGATTAATAATGTGCATGTGATTCATTAAAAGTTTTCAGCAGAGATTATTCCCTCCAACATGATAACCTATACCCAGGGTAGTCTACTGTATGTAGTCAAATATTTTTCTTACACTGATTCCCGAGCAAATTGACGAATAAACATTTGATTTTAGTGCCACCAAATTTAAAATATATGTATCTACTAAATGATATAATAAAACTGTTCATACCTTCAAAATCCTTTCATGTATTAATTGTAGATTTAATGTTGACGACAAGTTGTTTATCTTCTGAGGGTCTCCCACAATGAACTGTAGATTATAGCTACAAAAAGGATAGATACAATTATATCACATGCAATTATTTAGATGCATGAACATGTAAATCCTATTTATAAATTATATGCCTTGACCAAAATGTCATGGTTTCAGACGAAAATTTAGATGAGGAATTGAGCTCCAATAATGTTTTATACTAGTTGTAAATGCCTAAATTATATTTTATACTAGTTGTCAATGACATAAATTCCATAAACAAATATAAATATAAATACTTACCTGTTACAATCTGTGTATTGAGTATTGACACTGAAGTTCTGCATCCTTTCGCATTTTCTCAGCTTTTGGGAACATCGATGGCGACTGCAAGCAATTTCCGCACTGTATGTACCACCTAACCCGAGTTTCACTCACATTTAATTGCTCTCTTGCAAGAGAATAATGGTCCGAAATGACATTTTGAACACAATTTGAGGCAATGAACATCAAACTCGATGACCCTCCTTCGAGTCATATTACAACTCTTAGTCTCTTACTGGTTAAAATTAGGGTCATACCATAACAGCTTTCCTCACAAACATGCATGGAATCACAAATAAGGTTATTTCACAAGTACAGTCTTCTAAAGCAACTAGGCGCACGTCAAATTATGTCTTTTCTTGAACCGTTCCTTCCCTGTCCGACTTTTCATGGGCGCCGCCATCTTGAATTTTATAGTCTCAGAGACATCGTTTTATTTTAAAAGATGTACATTTAAATGTATTTAAACAACAAATATGTTATCATCTTGTTGTTTTCTTTAATTATCTATCAATTGAAACAAAAATATTCGAATTTTGGCCTTTGATATTGACTCGAACTGAAAAAGCATTTTATTCCGTAAACTACCGAGATCAATCCGAAGTTTACCAAAAATTACAGCCTATTTGTACAATGGATACCTTAATGTACAGTCAAACCTTAATATCTTGAACTTTATAATAGGGGCTGAATTTTTTACCAGATTTTTGATTTTCCACAAAATGAGACATGAAGGTGAAAATATAAAAGTAAGTAGTCGGGACCTCAAACTACTTTTCATATCCATGTACCCTGGTATTTGAGATATAAATGTTCAAGATACCAAAGTTTACCTGTACTTTTTTGTGCAGAGATTTGATAACTTTACCTGAGAATGGCATCACTGTAACCAGAGATGTAGATATCATTATCATGCTCAGGTTTGATAGACTGAGAGAAACTGAAAGTAAACCACATAGAGATACATATATCATTTACCATTTACATGGATGGACAAACATGTATTTATATTGAAATCAATTGTTTTGCACAAAATATAAATGATTCTTTAGAATTGTAGTTTAAATAAAATGTTAAGCAAAATCTACAGGGTGGTCAGGTCTCATAGTATTTCTTAATTTGCTCATCTCATTTATTAATCATTTTCAGTGAAACAGAAATCAAAATAAAGAAGCACTGATGGAGACAATGCGCCTACTCACCCACAGCCTTTCCCTGCAAAGGAGATGTTGACATAGAGAAGGTTAGGGTTGACAATCTGTCGATACTTCTTCAGGAAGTTAGAGAGAATTTTCTGCTGAGTCGCTGCAAGATCTCCTCCGGAAAGGATGACGATGTTATCCACCTATAGCAGAGTAGATATTGTGATGTTACTTCAATATAAGTTATTGTTTTATACATCAGTTTCATGGACTCTTTACAGAACAAACCCTGGAAAAGCCACTGAGGTCTTGATAGTGTAAAAAATGACAGATAATTACAGGCAGACAGACAAAGTGATGGGGAGTGACAGAAAAATATAGACAGATGGACAAAGTGATTACTACATTATGATGCTATAATCTCACTACATTTTTAAAGTTTTTACTTGAAAATAAAGCATTTTTATACAGCAGAGTCAAATAGCAAGTACAAAAAGATACAGAATGGTTACTGGAAACCAGTCAAATCAGTAATGAATCTTACATATAATATGCATACCTGTATTCTGTCTCTGAGTTTCTCCATCAGAATGGACTCAGGGAATCCATTTGGCATTTTTTCTGTCTTTCCACTGACTTCTGGGAAATTTATCTACCAAAATAATGTCATAAATTACAAAAACTTTACTATATACCTTTAGTTTTAAAGCATTTCACAATAATCAGAACAAAAATTGGCTTAAAAAAATAAGAAATATGTAACTTGTGTTGATTTCTAGACAGATTTAATTTCATTTATTCTTTTCAAACAATGAAACATATAATTGAAGACAGCTAGCAATTAAAATTCTAACCTTTTTGAGCAGGTTGTCTAGATTGTCTAGAATGGTTCCAGGCTGTATACTGGCTTGTTCCCAGGTGGTTTCCTTGAAGGTGACAAACTCACACTCCTCGCACGAGTATTTACACATCAGTCCCATCAGTAGAGCCACCTCCAACATCTGACGTGTAAAAAACAGAGTATGTGTGGGATCAAATTGTAGGTAGGTAAAAGCTTCTTAAATTGTACACTTCTGTTGAACTTTGTTATCTAGAATATCAATAACTCGAATACCAGTGATATGTGTGTGATCAAATTCTTTAAATATTTTAGCACCGGTATTTCAAAGTCGGTAAAACCGGTCACATCCTGATATTTTACTGTATTGTAAAACGAGAAAACAAACGCTTGGCGCAAACAAATTTTAGCGCTTGTACTTGTCAGTAAAATATATAAATGTGATATTTTGTTGTTTTTTTATCCACACTCGTATTTGACTTTTTGGTTAGTCAAGTACGGAAACACATTAGCGTATATCAGTGAACATTCGTTAAGTTTACCGCGGTACGTGTTGCTATCACTTGGACGTGGCACAATGTTAAAATTTATTTTATTTCTATTTTCAATTAAAAGAAAAGTACTCATTTAAATCATATTAAATCAATGCTTCGACAGAAAATTCTAGATAAAACGGTGATCCTAATCAATCAATCGCCATGCTTGATTGCATTGTTTACTTCGAGGCGATAGATGATTCGAGAAGCCAAACTTTGAAGGTGCTAATGATAATAATCGGGTAACAACTACTGGGGTAACAATAGTTTAATCAAATTATAATTTGGCTGAACTTTCTGTCTTCTGAACATGTGTAGTACTAGTGTGTATATAAAATCCAATGACCCTTCGACATTACGTAATCGCGCGTTCCGGTTTACATGTACTTATGTAAAAGATTTAAACACACAAAAAAAATAATATTTAGAAATCCTTTAGCGCACAATAAATTTTATATTTTACTCGTATATTGAAATTCAAAATTATATATAATGTATAGGAATTAAATAAAGCATGGATGGCAAATACAGCCACAAACTTATGCCTTTTCTTACCTGTCTAGGTTTTCCCAAGCCCCTGGCCGCGGTGCAGTTGACCCTCATTCTATCGCTACAGTCAGACAGTACTATGGTTCGGCCCCTAATTGGCTGTACATTGTAGACTGTGGCTATCTTGACTGCGGTGTCCAGAGCTTTCTTGTAACGATTGATGATTGCCTTGTCAAAGGCTGTCTCTCTGTTAATTAAAGCAACCCCTCATCACTTAAAGATACGGTTATATTATTATGAAAGAATAATCTTTAATAAATTTTTTTATACACTTTACTTATCAAACTAAATAACCCACTTTAATGACTGCTTAGAGTAACATGAATTAGAATTATTTATGTGGAATATTACTTCGGTTTCCTTTTTTCTTCCTTTTGTTTATTTTTCTTCTCGATCCACCAGTTATCTCCCTTTCCCCCACGCCCTCGGCCCCGACCCCTTCCTCTTCCTCCCCTGGGGGCAGCCTGAGACCTAGGGATTCCTGAGGCTTCCATCTCAGCCAACTCTACAAGCTTCTTCTCTAAAATCAGAAATCAACATCAGCAATTCAATCATGTCAATTCAAGCATAATAATCACTCATATAAACACAGTCAAGAAGGGAATTGCAGTTAAAACTTTAGGGATGAATTTTAAAATAATCTGATCGCATTTTCCTGGACTTTTTCTACTGCATTTTATACATTTTAGTCCATAAATTAATTTCAGTATTTCTTTTTTACATAATTAATTAACATTTACACTTTGATGGTAAATTTACATACAATGAATAATGTGCATGTATAAGGCAAAAGCATTTTATTTACTAACCTATGCAAAGTTTCAAAAAATTGCCTACAAAAATCCAGATAAAACATTCAACATTATGGGTAATCAGAATGTTTTATACTCACGAGTTGTTTCATATTCTTTTTCAAGTCCACTTAGAACTTCATAGGCAGAAAAGAACCGGAAGGGAAACTGCTTACTATTGGCAACTTGTCTCTGTATTAAAAACAAGAAATCTGTGAGCCAATGCTCACTAGTAATACCCCCGCTCTGATGTGAATAAACACTACCATGTTAATATATATACAAGCTCAATTACAGGCGAATGCACAGAAAAATATGAAGTTGACATCAGATTAACATCATGAATCCCACTATATAACATGTCTCAACAAAGAGTGCACCAAGCATCTGCGATGTAGTTGCTGAGAAAACTGAGACGAAAATTTGTTATGTATGAAATGGACAGACACACAGACAAACAGGAAGTTGTTTGATTTGAACAAAAATGTATCCCAACATATGGCATGACTCAGAGAAAAATTAAATTTCAAGCATCTGTGATGAGTAGTTGCTGAGAAAACTGCGACGAAAATTTGTTATGTATGAAACGGTCCGATGCACAGACAAACAGGAAGTTGACATCAGATTTGAACAAAAATTTTTATGGCATTCAGAGAAAATTGTACTAAAATTTCAAGCTTCTGCGATGAGTAGTTGCTGAGAAAACTGCGACGAAAATTTGTTATGTATGAAATGGACAGACGCACAGACAAACAGGAAGTTGACGTCAGATTTGAACAAAAATGTATCCCAACGTATGGCATGCCTCAGAGAAGATTGTGTTAAAATTTCAAGCTTCTGCGATGAGTAGTTGCTGAGAAAACTGCGACGAAAATTTGTTACGGATGGACAGACAGACGGACGGACAGACAGACAGACGGACAGACAGACAGACGGACAGACAGACAGACACACAAGGGTAAAACAGTATACCCCCCTCTCCTTCGGAGCGGGGGTATAAAAAGTACATAAAAAGCGTGCAGTACTGTGCCAGTACATACAGAATACAAAAACACCCAATGTGTCATACCGGGTGAATGTGTTGCTTTTTTTCAATATTTGAAAAAAATTGCAAGACCTTACATCAGATAATCATAAAAAATTTTTCTCTCCATATAGGCAGCATATCTGGCATAGTTTTAATATCAGATATTTTCCATATACATTCTCTTCAAACATCATGGTTTTGAAAGTTTTGTCCTACATACATGTATATCAGGTGAATTTCAATATATATTTGCTACCATATGCATATTTGTCTTGACCTTAACATTGACACGGTGACCATAAAATTGACAGGTTCAAATTTTAAAACCCACACATCCTGACACTTCAAGTTATTAATATAGTGTGTTATACCAAAATCCACGTTCACGGTGTGATGTTGCTGTCTAAAATTTTAATGAAAATTCATTTATTATTTTCCTAGTTTATTTGTTTTTTTTTTTTGGGGGGGGGGATATTTCCTCTATTTTCCACTGGATGCAGTTGGAAAAAGATTTTTTTAACATATGTTCCTTCCCCTCTTTCCACTTTGGCTTGATATCTGATACAATAATATACAATTATTTAATGCCTGAGCAGTCAATAAAAATTTTTCCCGAGGTGCAGGGAACAGTGTGTTCTATTGCCCGAGGCCAGCGGCCGAGGGCAATAGAACACACAGCTGTGCACCAAGGGAAAAAAATGCTCAGGCATTAAATAATTGTAAAAACCTAATTTTATTTTCCGTATATTAAGTGTTCACAATCGTATATTCAGTACAGAAGGTTCCCGTACCATATTGTATCGATAAATGTATACCTAGATATGGTGCATCATTAATATCAATTAAAGATTGATTGTATAGACGACTGTTTACATTCCTCTCAAAAAAATTTCACTCAAATGGAGACGCCACCAGTGGCCACCACTTGCCGGTGGAGAGGGATCTTTTTGTGCCAGCAGTGCACCTACTGCGACACGGGACCTCGGATGATAGGTCTCAACCGAAGGACCAGTCTCCACGTCCCACAGTGTATTAAATAAAAGTAACTCCCATTAAATAAAATATCCGACCATTGAAATCACATAATTTTTAAAACCAATGTCGAAAGACCGAATAAGATGATTGTTTACTATGTCTGTGCAGTGTTACAAACAACTAAATTTGAAACCCGGATCGTTTTTTTCCGAAATACGTTGCCGGTACACATTATGACCGGTCAATAGATAGTCAATAGATCGGTTTGAAAAGATAAGAAAAACTGAAAACACATACAGAATAGATGAAAATATTAAATTTATAATAAAACAACAAAATTCAGTGGATTAGGTAATAACATAATTCATACCTCATCAGTGAGTCGACGAAGAACCTGTTGATGATGTTTCTGGGAAATACCAGCTTTTATCAGATTCCTTAAGTTCCTCAACATTGCCATGAATGGCAGCTTTTTGTGATCTGTTATATAAAAAAAATTGTTTAATGAAATGTGAAACATTTATTTTTCACTACAAATAATGTAAAACAAAGAGAAATTAAACTGTTCATCAGCATCAGGATGTAATAACTAAGTAATGTTATCAGAATCAAGAATGAAAATTGACCAGTGAGATCACTGGTTAGGATAATAACTGACCAATGAAATTAGAAGTAATGATAATAATAGACCAATGAAATCAATAGCTGAGACAATAACTGACCAATGAGGTCCTCCCAAGTAGAGGCTTTGTTCCCTTTGAGGGACACCTGTGTTTCCCATGTCTCTGGGACGGGGAGCTTCATCCTCTTCCCTGCCCGATCCTGATCCCATTCCCCCGGGAGTCGGGATTTGTAAAATGCCTCTAGCGTGTCTGGGTACCTTCAAAACAAGGCAACTTAAAAAATCTGGCAATTTACATACTGTCAAATAGTTTGTTTTTCAAATTTGGATTCAAAGAACTTTTTAATTAGTAATTTTTTTTTGCATTTTCATTCGATTTGCAATACTAAAAATTGCAATTTTCTTCCTTGTGGCTTTAACCAAACAGCCAATTTTGTAATACCTACACATTCTTAAAAATTATTGATAAGAAGGTACCCTTTTTTTGAATTATAAGTTAAATCACACATAAATGCCAAGTACTTTTATACGAAATACTGACTTTTTTCCAATTATAGACATGACATGGTCCACTGGTTCGATGATGTGAAGTTTACGGATCAGTTGTTTAATGGAGAATTTGATTTTCTCCATTTCCTCCTGTGTGTGATCTTCTTCATCATAAACCACATCACTCAGCTGTTAAAATAATACTACAATCTTAGAAAAATATGGAGTCTGAGTCTTGAAATCTCTTTCATACTTCTAACCCTCTGAATGACATACACCAATGTATAGAATACTAGTGATAGGTTGAAGTCGTTGGCAGTCCCAATGACTTTTTAAAACAGGTTTTTTAACCTTATTATCTTGAGTTATCTGATTTCTTAATATTTATTCTGGTCCAGTCAAGATTAACATAAGAAGACTGTAGTGTACTTTGGAATATCTAACCTGACGATGGATGTTTTCTTCCTCATCACTTTCCTCATTGCTATCGGAATCCCAGTTGCCTCTCTGATTGGTTGACACATTTCTGGCATCTCGACCTCTCATTGCACCTCCTCGACCTCTGACCCCACCTCGACCTCCACGTCCCCTGACACCAGCATTCCCTCCACGACCCCTGACTGATTCAGTTTCTTTCTTTTCTTTTTTCTTCTTTTTCTTCATTGAGCTTTCCTTGTTATATTTTGCTACAATATTGCAACAAACACAGGTTCATTGTTGTGTTTTTTTTAATTACATCATTTGTTCTGGATTTTCTGTTTATGCATTATTTGGCCATTACTCCATTTTCATGCATTTCAGATTCATAAAAGAGTGTATATGTTACTGGAATTCTTTTGAGTATACAGTAACGCATGCAAATAGGGAAGTCCCAGATATGATCAATAATTTATTATAATCATAATTTATTATAACTGATATGTTTTAGAACTACAGGGAAGGAAAACTGTTTTGTTTAAAATTTTTATTCAATATACGCAAGAATTTCCTGTACTTGAATTTTTCACTTTTGAATAAAAAATACATACAGAAGATGTCATACCTAACTGATACTGGTCAAACTCAGGGAACTTCATGATCATGGCTTTACGCAGGGCTGCTGGCAGAGAGCCATGGGACAAATTGGTGTCATGGAACGCCTGCCAGAAAACAGATAATCATATTATCATTAAAAGTAATTAATCTTAACAACAAAAAAAAAAAACCCATTCAAATATGAAAAAGATGTGTCAGACACCTCTATCCTGATAAAATACAACATTGCCTCTCTATCCTGACTGGATACAACATTGTTATCTTTATTCTAATAGGATACAATATTGCCACCTCTATTCTGACTGGATACAACACAATGCCACCTCTATCCAGATACACCTTACATTCTCCCCCATCTCCATCTTTTCTAAATACAATATTGTCACCTCTGTTCTGGATACAATATTGCAACCTTTATCCTTATTGGATACAATTCCACCTCTATCCTATCTGAATATAAAAATGTCACTTCTGTCAAACTACACTCACCTGATAAATCTCTGCCACCTCTATCCAGTCAGAGGGCAACTGGATGGAAGCACAGTAGTACTTTTTTAGATATGGTCGACAGACCTCTACATTGGAGCAGAGAGCCAGAAGGAAGTTTGCTGTAGTTCTGATGTTTAACTCCTTTCTTGTGTACAAAGCAACCTATAAATACACAGACATAATATGAGATTTCTTTTTCTACAAGATAATATGCACAAATCCAACCTATAAAATAATTATGATTTTATCAAATTTCTAAAATGAAGGTAAAAAAGATAAATTGATGTACAAGCAATTCATTCTAAGAAGTACTCCTCTAAAAAATAGATATTTTTCAAAATGTACCTTAAGAATGAACTCTGGGTCATAGGTCACGACCCTCTCTGACATCTCAGACAGGGCTCTCCTGGTCAGGTCGTTGCTCTTGGAGAAGTCTGGCTGACAAATCAGGGATCCACTTACAGCATTGATAAGAGCCAGCTATAGAGAAACAGTAAAAATCAGGTATAGTAAACACAGGTAAACTATATAACTGGCTGCAACTGCTAAACTTCACTTAAAGAATCTTCTTTTGAGCTGTCATTCATTGGTTGCATTTTCTATATGTTATTTTTCTAACCTTTAAGCCGTTGACATCATGCAGTGGGATAGCTGGTCTGTTCAGACTGGGATCCTTGCTTGGATTTACAAACTTTGGCACCTCTACTCCCTTTTCTTCTGGAATTACCTTCCTGAGGTCATAACGAGGGGCCTTAGCCTTGTATTTATCAAATTCTAGTCTATCATCTGCCGCTCGTTTCTTTGACTTCTGTTTGGCTTGTGACTGACCTGATTTCTCTTTGGTGCCTTTAGGTTTTGAGTCAGAAAGTCCTGTTGGCAGTTTACTCGAGGTCATTAAAAAGCTGGACTGTAGAGATACTCTTCCTACTGGTTGCTGATTGGTCAGAACTGAGGCATGTGACAAGACAGACACTTTCTGATTTGTTAAGGAGGTATCCTGCCCTTGCAGGGACCTACCAGCACTTAATGTGGATGATAGGGCTGAGGTAGTGTACCCAGACAGAAGACTGGTTGCAGCTGTATTTCCTAGAAGAGAACCACTCAAGGGTCTTGATTGTGGGGTAACATGGCTGCTCCTGGTCTGAGTCTTAGAACTCAGTGAGGAGGGTGGAGGGGTCTTAGAACTCAGTGTAGATGAGCCCAGGAGAGAGCTCTTCAGACTACCACTCGTTAAAAGAGAAGAAGATCCTAGCAAAGAACTTTTGAGATGAGGTTTTTCAACTAATGGTTTCTTGTCTTCGATGGAAGATTTGGTGGTGAGTGGTTTTCTCTTTCTGGTAGTGGATAAACTAGCTCCCACTAGGGGTCCAGCTGGAAGCTTGCTTTCAAAACCTGAACTTTTCCCACCTGATACATTGCTCTGTAACCCTGTGCTTATTAAGCTAGATTTTATACCTGCAAAAGAAAATTTATTCCACATTAGGAGAGCAGAACATACCCTATATTATTGGCTAGCTGCTTCACTTTTATGCATGTAAATATATGTTCTCGTATATACTGGTAAGCCTATATGCACTGTAAATTGTATACATTTTTTTAAAACAGATTTTGAGTAAGTAATCCTTCCTGATTTTTTCTTTAATTCCTGCATTCTTTGTTACAATTAGTGGTTTTCATCCTCCAGATCCATTACTCATTTCAACACAATTTTATTTTTTAATTATTACTAATATTTCTGAATGTGTACTTTTATTTACAAAAGTATGAAACTTTTTTATGGTCTGTCTTCAAGAACACTTGAACAGCTCAAAGGAACCTAAAATTAGCCCATTGGTGTAAAGATATGACAAGTTCTCTTACGAAGAAAAGCAGGAGAGGGAACCAGTTTGTTTATAGGCGGTACCAGATTAATTCTGATTCTGACAAAATCGGACCGTGGTATTATGATGACATTTATAATAGATTTAAAAATTTTATTATAGGATATTCTTTTTTTTAATCTGTTAACATGGTTAATACAATATGTACATGTAAGAAATTCATAATATATGTAATACTGGTATATGAACTTTTTTCTTACCAGTGTCTTTCAGTGACCACTTGGACAAAAGTGACTTCCCTGATGTATCCATGCTTCAGAACTTAGAATCCTCACTCCAATTGAAATCTCTAAAGAACTGATCAATAACTGTAGATGCTGCAAAAAATAAAACTGTTACTTTTTTAGAGAGAACAATTTACTGCAGATTGAGATACTAAACATGCTAAAACTAAAAATTTTATCCATATGATATTGGGATTAGCCACTATCTACATGTAAATGGGCCACAATGCTCACCCGAGTTGCTTTGGAACTTGTTGTTCTGCAATAGAAATTCCTAAATTCAAAATTTTGATTGCTTTTTGTGGCTCCATCCCATAACAGAGCTAAGTTTTAAACAAAAATTGAATCTTCACTTTCAGAGGATGCTTATTCACATTAACATGTTCAACATGACTTTACTTTTCTTGAGAAAAGGAGTTTTAAAGATTTTTCCCAAATTAGTCCTATTATGGCCCCATCCATGGGGACATGCTCTGGAAAATTTACAATCTACACTACCCCTGTAAATATTAACTCCCAGCAGACCATGAATTGAAGAATTTACAATAAACAATGCCTCAGAAGTCTTCACATAAGTTTCATCTCTTCTGTTCCAGTGGTTCTTGAGTAAAATATCTTTAAATTAGGATTTTCCTTCATATTTTATTGCAAATTTCTTATTGTGGCCCTATGTACCTTACCCATGGAGGGCATAAATTAAACAATTCACAAACTACACTTTCAAACATAAGTGTTAGCTTTTTAGACTGGTGGTTTTTAAGTAGGTTTTTAAAATTTTTCTTAAAAGAAGTTGAAAATATAAAAAGTTTACAGACGGATGGGGTCGGACAGACGGACACAATTAGTGATCATCAGAAACTAAATCTAGCTCAGGACAGGTGAGCTATAAATGTTATATTTCCTCATAATTTTCACATGGTGCAATAATGTGAAATCTGTAAACCATGTTGACAGTCATAGTTATTTTTAATCACAACATGCTGAAACAGGAAAATATTACTTTGCAAAGCATTTCACTTTTCCTGCTAGAGGACAGGGTTACATTTTTCTCTTATCATGACGATACTCAGAAATAAATAACAAACTAAAATCACTACATGGCTAACCATGCTAACGTCTTCAGTAAAGTCTGAAATGAGTAAATCTTTTCCCCATGTGTATTGCATTCAACAACACGCAGCTTTTACATGCTGCAGCTGTGCTGGTATACCTATTTGCATTATTGCCTACTTGAACAGAATATGTACATTGTAAATGAATAAATGCAGAACGTTAAAGAAAATATTTACCAGTGTTTTCACATCTTTACATTCGAGACAGGCGAGTTGATCGAGTCATAAACGGAATATACTTTTACACTACAGTTTACTCAAAGTGTTGCAATACTTCCGGTACAAATTCTACTTTTATTTTCATTTTTCGCTTCATATCAGAGAGCAAACTAATTATCAGTATCACACAAATATTTACTCAAAATAATCTTCTTTTTTACTGTTATTGTTGTGATCAATACATTATTTATCATATTGTGTTTTAAATAAGTTTAAATTATGAAAAAATGGATAAGTAGTACAAATTTTCAATCTTTATAATTTATTATTCTACTTTCACTTTCCGGGCGGAAATTGGCTTGTTACTAACGACAACAAAGCGGATTTCCACTTTGACCCGTGAGCATTGAAGCGGACAAGACAGTTTCATGGGCGAGTTTGCAATCGGAAGTTCTTATGAATGGTGTATAGGAGTTTGATTTAGTATTTATTGACATACAATTATTTTTTTTTCACTTGACAAATGTACAATTTCAATAAGAAATGGAAACTATAACATTTAGGCGACAACTGAACGGGTTAACACGCGTGGACATGGAAGAATATTTCGATGATGTCGAATTAGAAAATTTATACCAATGGATTGATAGAATTCCATTATCGAGGCCTAAAAAGAACATTGGGAAAGATTTTTCCGATGGAGGTAATGGATTAGCTCAATTATTGCAATTTGATTTCATGCTCATTATATGTGGAGGCATGCCAGGTTAACTTAGGATTTATACCTGGTGCATTCTGCATTTGATCCATTGCCAATGTAATGTAAACTTTCCAGATAAATTACTTTCTTTTAAATATTGCTAAGTTCAGTCTTAATGTAGAAAACTGAAATTGGGTATAGCATTAAATATATCTATATATACTTTTCTTTTTTAATTTACAGAATACACTGAAAAATAAAAATTAATTCTCCCAACAAGTTAAAGGTTTATAACGTAAAGAATTATTTGATTGATTTAGGGCGTAAAAGCCAAATTGTAAAGAACTGAATTTATGACACCCTGGAAACTAAAGGATTTTAGTACTTCATGTTTAATTGCAATTAAAATAATTTCAGAGCTGAAGAAAAATGACGGTCGTTGCATCAGCCCTTATAAATTTTCCAATACCATATTTTTTCAGCAATATTATAATATATCGAAATTCACTATAATCATTTATAATCCCAGGAATAAATCAGGCAGCTTATCCCAGGAATTTGGCAAGCAATAGTATTTACCAATCAAGTTTCTAATTCTTGGTCTTTAAACTTTATCTGTAAGCGAAATATACTTTTTTTTAAAAAAGAATTTAAAAAATATAATACCAGTAAGAACTGGCAGCATAAATCATAATATTTTTATATTTTAAACAAAGTAAAGTTATATATTCTTTAAAGTTTTGGAGAGCTTTACCAAAACCATGAGAAAAAATTATTAGCTAGATCATTGTGGAACAGATATATGCATGCATGCTGATAATAAAAAATACATCATGAGGGAATACTACAAAGTGGGACATCCCTGGCAAAAAGGCACATAGATCCCGGCGATGTGAATTATTATTTGTGTAATGGAAGTTATACACTCTCTCACTCACCTACACTTACATAATGCATGTTATGTACGTATTCCCTCCATTTTCATCGCAATTGAATAATAACTAGTTAATGAAATGTGCCTTTTCTGTAGATAAGTAAGTCATTTAAGTTCAGTATGTATCATCAAACCTGTGATTAACAAATCAAAGTGTAAGCCAGGGGTATTGAAAAGGCTCTATCTTAGAATCAAAGATTAGTTACTAGACCAATATTTTTCACATTAATTTATTGACACAGTGTTGATAAATGGCAGACTTGAAAATTGTTCTGGTGGTTTTCACCAAAGTCTACTCAATAATGAATTGTTAACCTATCACCATTCCAAACAGAAGAAAGTCCTGTGTAAATAGATTTCATGATTATCCATATTTTATAATTGGGTTTGAAATCAAACAAAACATGGAAAACACCGTAAAAATCAATAGAAAACCATTATTGTTGAACATGTCATTTTTTCTGTAACACATTCATTAGAAAATTGAAAAACAAATTTTAAAAAAGCATTAGATATATTTCACAAAAGGTTTTCATTACATATTTCTTTTTATAGTTAACTATATGATAAAAGTTTCTGACAATCTCTTAGCAGGTCATTCCCCTGAAGTTATGTTAATTTCTTGCTTATATTGATTAATTTCCTATATTTAGTTGACCCATTTGATTTGATTACTTCCTGTGATTGGTGACATTTGGTGTGGACATTTTTGTCGCCAATCAGTACATGACATTCAATATTAATAAAACCAATCATTAAGTATTACAATTTACAGCAAGTCAAAAGTCAAAGTCGTCTCAGATTTTTTTAGGAGGGCAATAAAAATTTTCACTTTTACATCATTGTGTTTTACAGTAGACCTGTTTTGATTCCTAGAAATGATAAATTATTTATAATGCACCTCTCTTTTAATAAAAAAAGCAATATATTTTTCTCTTTCCATCATTAATAAATGGTAGTATTTCATTCATAATGAAACACAACTAGTTGTCAGTGGAAACTGCAAATTTAATGACAACATGCATGTACAGTACTATCACTGCTCCCCTGACTCTTTGGACATTTATTAGTGAGAGATTGCCTGATATTGAACTTCTGTTAAATATATTGCATCCTATCCAATGGACCAAGTACTTTTTCTAATTCCATCCATATGTATGAGATATTTTTTTTTTAGTTTATTAAAAAGTATTTAAAAATATAATGGAGAACTATAGTAAGCATGCCCCAAGTATTCTTTATAAAGATAAATTAATGCATACATTTATGTATCTACCATGTTATATTTCACTTCATTAAAGAGCATTAATATTGTTTTATTTATTGAATGGCTTTCCATTAACATTTGAGGTATTGGATAATTATGGACCTTCTTTATTCTTAATTATTTCGCTGAAACATTTCAAATTGAATCTATTTTTAAGGTTTCATGGGTGTTTTTCCTTTCTGACATATATGATAGGATAATATTTGGGCAGGCCATATTTGCCTTTCAGACCTAGCCATCTTAACAGCCTTACCTAATTTCACTTTGGCTGCTTACAGTTTAAACACAAGGCCTTGTCCCTTAAACCACTTCTGTTTTAGACCCTGTATTGGGTAGAAAAGTTCTTATGTAAACGAGAGTTAAATGTCTTAGTTACAATGTTTGAGATAATGAGACAGCTAAATTGTTTGATTTTCTGATTAGCTTTGGAATAGTTTGTTGTTAAGGACACAAAACACCATTTTCTGAGATACCTCTCCATATCTCCCCTGAACAATTTTAAATAAGTCGTAAAGCTAATCAGTAACCATCTCAATCCCTCCCCTTCACTCCACATGCAGAAAATTGAAACAAATTTTTAGCTCACCTGAGCCGAAGGCTCAAGTGAGCTTTTCTGATCCTGTCTGTCTGTCTGTCCGTCTGTCTGTCTGTCCGTCTGTCCGTCTGTAAACTTTTCACATTTTCGACTTCTTCTCAAGAACCACTGGGCCAATTTTGACCAGACTTGGTACAAAGCATCCTTGGGTGAAGGGGAATTGAAATTGTTAAAATGAAGGGACATATCCCCTCGCAAGGGGAGATAATCAAGAAAAGACAAAAATAGGGTGGGGTCATTAAAAAATCTTCTTCTCAAGAACCACTGGGCCAGAAAACCTGAAACTTATATTAAAGCATCCTAGGGTAGTGTAGATATTAAATTGTTCAAATCATGACCCCCGGGGGAAGGGCGGGGCCACAATGGGAAATCAAAGTTTTACATAGAAATATATAGGAAAAATCTTTGAAAATCTTCTTCTCAAGAACTACTGGGCCAGAAAAGCTGAAACTTATGTGAAAGCATCCTAGGGTAGTGTAGATATTAAATTGTTCAAATCATGACACCCGGGGGGAAGGGTGGGGCCACAATGGGGAATCAAAGTTTTACATAGAAATATATAGGAAAAATCTTTGAAAATCTTCTTCTCAAGAACTACTGGGCCAGAAACGCTAAAACTTATGGGGAAGCATCCTAGGGTAGTGTAGATATTAAATTGTTCAAATCATGACCCCCAGGGGAAGGGTGGGGCCACAATGGGGAATCAAATTTTTACATAGAAATATATAGGAAAAATCTTTGAAAATCTTCTTCTCAAGAACTACTGGGCCAGAAAAGCTGAAACTTATGTGGAAGCATCCTGGGATAGTGTAGATTCTAAATTGTAAAAATCATGACCCCCGGGGGAAGGGTGGGGCCACAATGGGGAATCAAAGTTTTACATAGAAATATATAGGAAAAATCTTTGAAAATCTTCTTCTCAGGAACCACCGGGCCAGAAAAGTTGAAACTTATGTGGAAGCATTCTTGGGTAGTGTAGATTTTAAATTGTTCAAATCATGACCCCCAGGGGAAGAGTGGAGCCACAATGGGGGGATCAAAGTTTTACATAAAAATATATAGGAAAAATCTTTGAAAATCTTCTTCTCAAGAACCACTGGGCCAGAAAAGCTGAAACTTATTTGCACATGGAAGGATCCTGGGGTAGTTGATTTCAAAATGTCTTAATTATGATCAGTGGGGTAGGGTGGGGATACATAATGTATTACAAGGGGGAAATCTGGTAAAGAACAGAATGGTCAAAGCTTCTCAGGTGAGCGATGTGGCCCATGGGCCTCTTGTTAACAATACGATAATCCTGCACCAGCATTAAGCTTATTAAATGGACACCCCTTTTCCAAGCTTGCAGTAATAGGCAGGTGGAGCATATGTACAAAGAGAATCTGGTTGAAAGATACTGTAAACCAACTTTTATTCGTGTGCAAGAAATTTTCGCAAAGTTCGTGAGAGCCTTGTCATCGCAAATACATGTATATCTCACCGCAAACCGATCGCCTTAAAGTGTATTTGTTTATTAACAACAGATACAACAGAGGCTTGATTGTGAAAATTAATCGTCATGAACTATTTTATACCTGGTAAATCGCAAAAAAAAAGTCATCACGAAATAAAAGTGTGATTACAGTACCCTGGTCATGTAAAAAAAAAAAAAAAAAGGAGAAAACTCTAAAACTAAAGACTAGGTGAATTCAAATTAAAAGTGCTGGTGCCATTTTTGTTTCGTTTTGTAGATTCCTTGTCTCATACATATAGTTAGCACTTTAGACCTGAATTTGTAGATTTGCCCAAAGTAATTATTTGATATTTTTAAGGGGAGGGGATGAGCTGTAGATATCTAATTTCTGCCCTCTCTAAATTATTTGTACTCAATATATGTAATTACATGTATGTATACTGTAAATCACTTTTTATTCGCGAGAACTTTATTTTCGTGTAATTACGCGAGACAGCGTGCTCGCGAAAATTTATTTCTCGCGTTTAATGGCATTCCTTAAGATTATATAGAGCAATAACCACAATTCGTGAAAATTTTGTCTCGCTAATCAAGAGTCAATGACTATCTCGTGAAAATAATTTGTCGCGAAAATTTAGTGATGTACAGTAGGTAAAACTTTATGAACTGTGTTGTGTATATTTTACATTGTAAAACTATTATCTGATGATAAAACCTTGCCTGTGTTATGTTAAGAGCATTCAGTACATGCTTGAGAACAACATGTACATTATTTATAGCCTGAAAGTTCAATACTAATGACATACGAGGAAAATAATGGGTAAAACTTTAAAAAAGACTTAAATTCACATATTTATGTACATACATTATCTACTGAGAATCCATTGCGCAGTTATGATAAGGCTGTCCGAAGGCTTAAAATGCCTTGAAAATATACATTTTTTTCCGAGCTAGATTTTAATTTTAATATGTAATCTTTGTTTGAAATTGCAGACAACTTGAGATGATAGTTTAACCCTGTTTTACTGTAGAAGTACTTTTTTCCACGTGGTATTAATTTATGCTATGTACGCGGTCACAAATTTTACGCGGAAAATTGTCCAAGCGTACTTAATATAAATGTAAGGCATATAGTGACAATCTAGAAAATCCGCGTAATTTTCTACCCGCAGACTAAACAGATATTGAGATTCCGCGGAATTAAGACCCCGTGGAAAAAAGTACGTCTACAGTATTTTAAAGCATTTCCGTGACGTCACATGACTGTGTTGATCACGTGACGGACATTTATGATATTCCTAATTGTTGGACAAAAATCGCTTCGGCACAAGTGCAAAACAAAAATATTGTGCAAAGTTTGTTACATAGATCAATTCATCGTGATCTCTAGTACATAGAAAGTGCTGGGGGCAGGTTTAATTTTTACTTGTTAAGAAAATATTTTACAAGAAATTCAACTTAATAACATGAAAAGGGGTATTTTCCACTTTGTATCACAATTTATACAAAAATGAATAAACTACACATAATTCCCCAGCAATATTCAGTTAGAGGACATACTTCTCTTGTAGATTCACACAAAATATCTTCAATTTCTCCTTGTTTATCACTTGTGCCAGTCCAATATAAACACGATTTATAAATTCTGACTCTGTCTTTGGACGTGTAAGGGGAGCGTTTCACACATAATTTTTTACTATTATTTGAACATGTGCATATCGGAGAGGCAAAAGGAATAAGGATATTTAAATTTCAAATGTATAACATCATAATAGCATACCCAAGCTTAAATACAATTCTAACTCTTGAATTAAACAACAAGTCCCCAAAATAAATCTACATGCCGTGTAAAAATAATGACATTTTCCCCGTCATGCAAGCTCAAGTATACAGTGACATAACGTCATATTCTATTATGACATCATATCTAGGTAGTTCAGAGAAGTAACTACGGTTTGAACAGTTTGATATTTTATGGGCAGCCTTATCCTAGCCTCGTGTTTAACTTAAATGAAATTTGTGTTGTTATTGATTTGAACATTATCCACAAAGTAGTAGCAAAAAACTAAAGGCAGAATCAATATTTATATTGTTAATTTGAGATCAATTTTAGTTATTCACCTATAAGTATTATTGGACCCCTGAAAATCATTACCTTTTAAGTCATTGAATTTTAATAAAAGCTGATGTGTTTCCTGACACAAATATCAGTGAAGCAAGAAATAAACTTTTGCTAATCATACCACCACTGTTTTTGTAAAAAAATATACAGTATTGGACAATTTATATATACAATCCATAAACAGTACATGATAAAGTAAATAAGTAACCTAATTTTTCAAACCTTTTGTCTTTAATTTTGTTAATTTTCAAGTGACACAAGGCCGATTTAATGGACGATAGATTTTATGTGCTCAAAATACAGTTGCAAATAATTTATTACTAATACATTTTGTTTTATTTTCAGTGCTTATAGCAGAAATTATAAACCACTACTTCCCTAAGCTAGTGGAACTCCATAACTACTCACCCGCTGCTGCCACAAAACAGAAGATGGAGAACTGGTATCTACTGAACAGGTAACTATCTACCTTAACAGGTGTCTAGCTACCTTAACAGGTAACTATCTACTTTAACAGGTGTCTATCTACCTTAACAGGTAACTATTTACCTTAACAGGTAACTATCTACTGAACAGTTAACTATCTACTGAATGGGTAACTGTTTACTGAACATTTTGTGTGTCTGTGTGTCTGTCTGTCTGTCCGTAACAAATTTTCATCAGTTTAATTAGCAATTACTCTTCGCAGATGCTTGAAATTTTAGCACAGTCTTTGCTAAGGCATGCCATAAGGTGGGATTCATATAAAATACATGGTTACTGTATTGAAATATAAGCGATATTTGGGCGAGGGTAAGAAAACGGGATGGAGGGCGAGGCTTGCTGAGCCTTCTTTCGTTTGTGACCCGAGCCCAAATATCGCTTATATTTCAAGACAATTATCATGTATTTTGTTTATCCTGCAACAAAATTTTACATTTGAACGTCCAAAATAAGATATTTCCAACAGATTTAGGCACTTCTCTGCAGTTGAAACTATGGCGCCATGGAGTAAACATTGCAGTATATGTGACGTCACAATGCTTTTAGAATGTTGGAATACATGCACGAGGCTTCATTAGGGCAGTGACCGAATAAAGCTTTGGTTTATTAGGTTACCTTTTTTAGGTCAATGCAAGGGGTAGTTGCAGGATAAATTTTCATAAGCATGCCATAAGGTGGGATTCATATAAAATACATGGTTACTGTCTTGAAATATAGGCGATATTTGGGCGAGGGTAAGAAAGGGTGATAGAGGGCGAGGCTTGCTGAGCACAGATTTAGGCACATCTCTGCAGTTGAAACTATGATGCCATGGCTTAAACAATGTAATATACATGACCTCACAATGCTTTTAGAATGTTGGAATACATGCACGAGGCTTTATTAGGGCAGTGACCGAATAAAGCTTTGGTTTATTAGGTTACCTTTATTAGGTCAATGCAAGGGGTAGTTGCAGGATAAATTTTCATACTTATCCAATGACAACTTTCTATTATCTGTGCATCTGTCCCTTCCAATATGAACATTTATTTCAAAGTTACATAGTAATAAATACAGGATTTTCGCATATGCGATATGCCTGATTTCACAATAGCCGTATCAGCCCTGCAGGGCTGATATGGATTTGGTTGGCTGATACGGGTCAATATCACACCCCTAGTTAATTAAACCTAAAAAGAACAGTAATTGTGATCATACACATATTTTTGGGGGTACATATTCTCTTAATTTTAACATTTTGAATGTAAGGATAATCTCATTGACAAATAAAAGATAATTTTCAAATTACGGATCAGGCACATTTGAAATAGAATTAGAAAGAAACCCAAACTGTTTGAGACAATAAACTATGTACATGTAAAAGGTTTTTGCATTATTATATACTGTACTTATTTTCTTCTCAACTTAATTGTGTACTGTATTTCATTACTAAGTATGTAATAAACATAATAAAACATACCCTTTTCCACATCACATCCTGTATTAGCCCTCGACCAATATCAGCCCTTGGGCCTTTTGCCCTCTTACTGATAATGGTGTCTCGGACTGATCATACAGGATATGATATGGAAAAGGGCATGAACTATTATTCTCTATATATTCACATTACATCAGAGAGGGGGTATTACTAAAGAGCATTTATTCATTGATTTTGTGTTCTTTATATTTAAAGGCGAGTGTTACGGAAGCTTGACCTTGACCTATCAGATGAGGTCATTCGAGCTCTGGCAAACTGCAAGCCTAAAGTGGTAGAGAAAGTGCTGATGCTCCTACGACTTCAGATAGACAAGAATCTGCAGAGACAAGGTAGGAGCCGCATGGAAATTGATGCCAACTTCGCCCAGAGTATGGATCAAAAAGAACAAAAAAAATCCCAATCTGCCCCTGCTGCCGAAAATAGTCGTAAGTCTTGTGTATCCATGTGTGGTCCCTGCCCCAGCACTTTACAACAGGCATCAGGTCAAATCCTCTGGTTTGTACACATACTGAACAAATGTCATCCACTGCATTGAAACAAAATCAGTGATAAATTTGTTAAGGTGTAATGGTAACAGTAAGAACAGTATTTATAGAGGAAACAGCCATGTGATATTCCAAATTCTGTTCAAATTCAAAGATGAAAAAAGCAGTTGATAGCTTTCTTAGATATTATTTTTTTCAGCTTGTTTTTGTGTTAAGTCTTTTTATTTAATTTCATACACCTGAATTGACCCTGATGTCTGCTGGCACTATTTGTGTGGGCCCTCACATTTTCTGTTGTATTCCGGAGCTTTGGACTCTTCACAGCTTATCACTTCACTGCTAAAAATTAAATTCTTGATCCAATCTCCTGAACTTTTAAGGATCTGGTAAAATGGAACTGAGCAGTATTTCTGATGTATATTCAAATGCATATTACTAATTCTCCAACTTTTAACAATCACATTGAATTCTGAGGTTAGTGGGTATCTTTTCTTTTGTTCTTTTAGCTAGAAGATTTTTTATGGGCAATTTCTTAACCATTGTTTAACTGCATATCAAATATTTTCAAAGACATTAATTAAGATGATATGAACTGAAAAATAATTAGTTGTCTTTCCAAAATATTTGCATCATAAGAAAATTGAGACTTTATGTATGTAACCTGTATAATATTAAGAGATAAACTGGTTGCTCTAAGATTTCCAAACTGTTTTATCAAAAAAAAAAAAAAGAAGACCCTAAACGACTACTTTTTCTATCAATTAATCAAAGGTCTGTCCACTTATGCTTATAAACTGATGTTTTGTAGTTAGATGAGTTAGTTGAGGGGGGGGGGGCATTATGATATCGTAAACATTACAAAAAAATCCCTTATTTTTCAAGCTCTCTGTCACTTTGACTTTATATCTCACAATTTTGTGTGTTGTAAAAATGTTTATACTTTACATATATCATTAAACGTAAATGGTACAAACTTTAAAAAATTTCTTGTCCTTAGAATGATTGGCTTATTAAATTCAAAGGGAAAAAATTCCTCACATAGATGAAATTTCAATGAAATTTTCCTTCAACTAGAAATAAAAGCTATAATACTAAGAACGTTCATAAGTTTAAAGTTTGAATTATAACTGTATGACAGAACCTAAGCTTGGCTTACCAGTGGAACTTGGAACAACTATTTTTTTAAACTTTCTAGTTCAATAAATTTAAAAAAAATTATCTCTTGCAACATTGATTCAAATCCTGAAATAAAAATTCAGAAATTAAAAAAGTAATATCGTGTTTTTGGCTTCATTTGACAAAAGCTGAATTTGGAGAAAAACTCCGAAGTAATGAGAACAAATGATCATTTATAATGTATGAGTGTTGTATCCTATGAAATTGCATAAGACTCTCATGTTAAGACACATCTTATATACTCTGTTACAAGTAAAGTCACTCAGTGGATCATGCATTATTGTAAAAATCTTTTCACAATTCTCAATCTTTGTATACTCTAATATATCATTTTTCATGACTTAATTTTTTTTAGCTTTGTTATTTCTGAATTACGGTATAAAGATGCTAAATTGTTGTAAATTCTGAATATGCTATTAAAATGTCACTCTTGGAATATTAATTTACATATGTCAAGAAATTGACTTCTCTCTTAATATAAAATATAACTTGAAAAGGCCCAGGGTCTATTATTGGATCATTTCATACCGGTAAATATTTTTTTTCACACATGTTATAATTGTTATATAAAAATAAACAAAAAGGTCCACTGTTAAGTGAAATCAAGCAGTACGTTCTTTAATAAAAGCAGATAACTTCTGTTGGGCTGAAGCTTATTATATTTTACAGGGATTATTATAATCCCCTAAATAGAAATACAATGGCTACTTCTGTCAAAATGTGGGGGTTTAAAGTACTTGTGGATTATATAAAACCTATAATACCCAGAGACTTCTATCTGAAATGGTTCCACTTCTTAGGGGGCCAAATATGACCTCAATTCTCCATTTTAGTAGTAAAATCAATAAACTATTTGATTTTATGTTAAATACCCTAACAGCATAAATGTCCAGTAATTATTACATCCTTTCTATCCATAATCAAATAGTAACAGAAGGTGACAGGTTGTTCTATCTAGATATTTAGTTGTTACACAAGTAGCTGCAGAACTGTAGCTCTTCAGAACAGAGCATACAGACAGACAGACAACCAGAGAAGAGGCAAAGAGGCAAATCTAGTAACAGATTGGTAGTGTGTCTGTCTGTATGTTCTGTTCTAAAGAATTGTAGCTCTGTAGCTATTACAGTATAGGTCCAAGATGTAGCATCACAGAATACCTGTTGTTCGAGTCGTCATTGATTCAGACCACATTGATCAAAAAACCTTGTTATTGTTTCTTATGATGATTTCATATTTTATCAAGAAACCTCTGAGATACTGCATACAAGTATAAAAAAATTGTATAGCTGTTCCTTTGTTGATGAAAGACGTGCTATAATACACGCAACCAGGAGATGTATCAAAGTCTTTGGTTTTTAAATTCTAAACAATTACTCAGTGACCACATTTCTTATGATGGTCACTTTGCCTTTAATGGTTTTAAATTAATCCCTGCTCAGATTTACTGTTCTTTTATCGGTAACGCTACAGATTAAGGGCTAGAATATAGCTTTCTGACAATAGGCAGTAATTTTAGAATTTTTCAATTGGAAACCAGCACTTAGAAAATAGTCAACAATGTTGCCAATGACGTATCATTGAATGGCTTTTGAGTGACAATTTTTTTCCAACCAATTTGTCTTTGGAAATCATTTACGAGTTGTGGGATTGTAATTGTGGCTTGGCTTTTCTAGTTTTGATGGATTTTAAAAAAGCATGTAATTGAGAAATAATTATGGACTACTCAGGGAGATATAAGCGATATTCACGAACTGACTCAAAAGACAGTCGTAGTAAACTAAGTTCTAAAGATAGTGGCAATGCTTCACTACCTACCAAACCAGGCTCAATGGAAAGTTACAATACAGCATATACTAACGGCAGTCGAACCTCTCGCAAAGAAAGTGGGGAATTTAATGCAACTTACAGAGGTAACGATTTAAACAGGAGACAGATAGAGAACAATAATGTGACCGGGCAGCAGAGACGGAGTGGTGAACTTAGTGACAAGCCGAGGGAGGCAAGAGATGTTTATCCTAACTATAGGCCCAGTAAAGGGGGTGGAGAATATAACAGCAAGCAAAGTGGAGAAAACGGCAGTGGTAAACGAGCAATGAAACCCAAAAATCAAGGAAAACAAACCAAAGAACCTGAATCAGAGAGGGGTAGGGTAACAGTATAATTAAACGAATAAGTCACAAAGCACGAGTCAGAAAGCCTCAATCTCAAAGTGGACTTCTTAATTGTACAAACAAATCAAACGTTAGTGGATTTCTGTCAAATAAAATCAGGGTCTTATCTGGCAGTTTGAGAATGTTTAATCTCATTTGGTTCATATGAATTCTTCCTCTACACCAGAGACCAATAAATGCTCACAATATACAGAAAGTCAAAAATTCAACTTTTTGGGAAATTTTTTGAAAGGCAGAGGAAAAATGACTATGAATGCTAAACATGGAAGCTCATATAATTATGAATTTTTGATACTTAATGTTGTTCCTCTGTTTGAGGGTTGAGGATATGGTAATATTCTCAGCAGAACTTATATAAGGACAACTGTCTGTCCTGTAAAACAAAGTGTCAGTCTCTAAAAATAAGAATGTAAAACGAAATCCTGAGTGTCAGTTGTAATCCATTATTTGTATGATATTGATCTGATGTGTCAGTGTTTAATGTTGTTAACGGTTTTTGCCACACTTATAATGAGACCAAAGGTTTAGCTGCAGTAACCCCTAGTTTCAGGTGCTGGGATTTGTACGGTAATTGTCTCTCTCCTGTTGGCTCTTCATTGATCGTACAATCCACTGGTATTCACATGTTGCTAGGTAAATCAGCATTGCCAACACTAGAAATCCTACATCTGTTATACTGTTTCTTTTTTAAGTGAAAAAAACTGAATGACTGTCAATTAAAATGATCTGATGACTGTAGGCTATAGAGAAATTTCTTTTTGATAATTGGAAGTTTAAATTTCTCCGCTGAAGGCCATGCACTGATAAAGTGTCTAATATAAAGAAAACACAGTTTAAATTCCTTGATATTTAAGTCTGCTTAAATAAAGAAATTGACAATTCATTTTCAGAGAGTTACTTAAACAGAGAGTATCTGATTATCTTTATGATTAAAAAACTTTACCTAAATGTGAAGAGGGTTTGTTAGGCTTTAAATTTCTAAATGCACTTTAAAAGGTTCTAGTTGTGATATTCATAAATGTTGAAGTGAAAAGAATATGAAAAACTTTTCTTCTTTTGTATAAGAATTGTACAAAGGCTTCCTATAAGTGTTTGTTCATGAAAATGAAACTTTATTTATATAGACCTTATATTAAACAGCTCCTTGCTTAATATTCATTGACAACATAAACCCTTGTAAAATTATTCCTTTCCTTTGACTCTGTTTATTTTTGCTTTTTTTCACTTTGCTCTATTTCATATACCGGTAATATGAGGCATGTCTAAAAGTCTACATTCATGAAAGCGGCTCATAAGTGCTTAACTGCTTTATTGATTTCAAGTTCCTTGCACTGCGCAGAAAACACTGAGCCACTTAACAAACAGTTTAAATTAATTCTGAAACTTTTAATGCATAATTTATCAAGTCTTCATTGAATGTTTTTACTGAAAACAAATTGTTCAATAAGGTTATTAAATACAGAGTTAAAGTGCAGATATTTAATTTTAATTTTCCTCTTTCTTGCAGAGGCGTTAGTTCCAGTAAAAACAGGGAGGTCTTCACCGGGAAAACTGGCATCTCCCCGCAAACTAGGGAAGGGAGAAATCCCCCACAACCATCCAGACAGATCGTAAGTACAGACCCAATAATCCCAGGGTACAGCAATAAATCAGGGGAGGGGGATATACAATAGTTCAGAAGCTGAAGCAGGTCTATGACGAGTGTTCCCATGGAAGCTACATGACTGAGGTCAAGGTCAAGTGAATAAATGCGATATTTTCCACCCTAGTCACAGTAACCATTTTTCCTCTCAGTTTCCTTCACGGGAATGTCTGCAACATGAAAACAGTGTCAAACTTGGCTCTCTTTATGCTTCAGATAATTTCAAAATATCTTTGTTTTTTTTTAAAGAGAAATTAATAATGTAAGGGCCCTGGAACAAAGAATTCAGGTGCAGTCACAAACTATTTTTTTGTAAGTTAAAGCTTTTGGTCAGCTCTTTATGTTCTCTGAAATGTGTTGTTTTCTTGTGAAAAAAAGTATAAGATCAAAAGAGCAGAAAACATTATCACCTAATTAAAACATACAGTTTATACATGTGACAGAAAAGTGAACAGACCATTCTTCAAAGTATAAAATCTCAAAGAGAAAAATTCTAGGTATAAGGAATTTTTACTGGAGTAAATCTTATCTTTTATATATAATTCTCATTCATAATTTCTGAGCTAATTGTTCAAGGGATATAACTCTGTGTTATGTAAATTACATCAGGAAAAAGAAAGTGGAGCCAATACTTTGGTAAAATTCTGTAGTATTAATACGACACATATAAGATATATTTAGAGTTTTCCCTTCACAAATGCTTTTTTCTGCACACATTTTTTTTCAATAAAGTTCAATGATGTTAATAAGGATCAATATGTTACTTTTAATTACATTTATATACATGTATATTAAAACATTTACTTGATTGCACACTTCTTAATGTTGTAAAGAAATTAATGAAAAAAAATTAAGCTGCTTATCATATGATTTGCTATTTAAAATAAGGTCTGTAAAAATAACAACTGTAAATTTAGGTAAAAAATAAGTGTTAATTTAAAAATTCTACCCGTGGAATCTTCTGTTTGTTTGATTGGATAATTTTCAGTTTTGAGTTTGATGCTGATATTTATCAAGAGACAGGTGAAATGCCTGAGGGCTACTTTTTTGTGTCACACTGAAATGGTTTCTGACTTGATCAGTAATTTAAGTGTCCTACCTAAATAATAGATTCAGTGTCTGTTTTAGCACTAGAACAGTGTGGTACCGGTACATGAAATTTAAATAAGTACTAGTAAATGTAATTACAAAAATCATTACCTGCGTAACTGGTTCATATTTATTATCAACAAAATAACCAATACGTAATTAAGGCTTTTATTAGCTTACCAGTGTGCTGAAAGCTCACTTGAGCTTTTTGATCAATGGGTGTCTGGCATCTGTCTATCTGTCTGCCAGTCCTCCTCACATTTTCAACTTTTTCCAAAAGAGAGGTCTTGTTTCAAGAAATTTATACGAAAGCCCTACCTATTCAAAAGTTATGACCAAGGTTAAAGTTTTTAAAAAGTGGGTCCAACTCTTAGGTCAAGATCAAAAATATTTATAACAGGAAAGGTCTTTTCAAATGAATACACATGTGAAGTATGAAAGCCCCAGCTCCAACTGTTCAGAAGTTATGGCCAATGTTAAAGTCTCATATTTTTTGTAAAAGTAAATCAGACCCAAGGTCAAGAGGTTAAAATTGGTGGTACCAAAAGAAAGGTCATTCCCCAAGTAATACACCAGTGAAATATGAAAGCCATAGGAAACTCAATACTTATGGGCTAGGTTTTTACAAAGACAGAGAGACAAACAGATGAACAACAAACAAACCAGACAGGACAAAAACAATATACTCCCGGGATCTTTCAATTTCAGGGGCATAAAAATCTTTGAAAATCACAGAATAAGATGAAACTTAGCTAGAAGTTTTCTGAGGTATTGCAGTTTGTGAATTGTTCAGAACATGGTCCCTGAGGAGTAAGGTGGGGCCACAATAGAGAGGATTTTGTAGGGAAAACTCTTCTCAAGAACAGCATAGTCATGATAAATCATAACAGTTCTAATGGAAGCATCCTCTGATTATGAAGATTCATTTTTTTTAAATCATGACCAGTTTTAGAAGGTATGTAAGGGTGAGAGGGTGCACAAAAGGCAACCAAAATTTTAACATAGGATCACATTTAATTTGGGAAAAAAGATTTGATGCTAAACAGTAGGGCCAAAGTGACTCATGTGGGTGTTGTGGCCCATGGGCCTCTTGTCATTTTATAACTTTCTTTTTATTGCTCTATTCTCATCTGGCTCCTTATTTCTTTCCAAATCATTAGAACCAACTTATATGTATATACATGTATTACCACACCTAACTATGAGATATACCTCTTTATTTAGGTACAAATTCTCTACGAGGGGTTATCAAAATGTTTGTGGACTGAGCTATAGAATTAGTACTATATAGTCTGTGCTTTTAAAATTTATATGGAACATAAAACAACAAAAAATAAAGAAATGTTGAAAATTTTAGCCTGATACGTTCATTATTTGCTAAATTATTATAAAATATAAACTACATTATATGGTCACCCGGCGCTGTCGTCGTTTTTTTTTATGACGTCCGATAACGTCATTGTTTTTTCAATGTGTTCTTCTACCCCATACACTTTTTTGATGAGATTCCCTGGAGCTGAGTAAGGACTTAAACCTGCCTTGTTTATATGACTTTACAATGTCATGAACAGTGGCCTTCAATGAATATAATATTCCAAATGGATTAATACATAGGGAGAGATCCGCGCTTGATTGTGCCGGCATATTTTGCTTTTGGGAGTTCAATACCTACAACACATGATCAACGTCATTTTTTGACGCGATTGATTTTTCACACCTTGACTGCAAATCGAAATAAACGGTGTATCCCTTTTCCATCTGAATCTATTGTGACATTAAAAGACAAGTACTCTGGATGCATATTATTTCTCTGTAGCCATTTTCAAAATATTTTAGGTCTATACCATTTTTTTCAGGGGCAAAACTTTATAAAATGTTGGAAACGGAATCCCTCCCCCCTTTTTGACGTCATTTGTTTGGACATTCCGTGAAAATTTACGATAAAATTTCATAGAACATCCAGAATGAAGTGAAAATTTCATATTTTATTGAACAATTATGTCCCTACACATACCTTAATTAACGGGATTTTTGGATGTCAAATGATTATTTCAAAAGAGTTTTTCTCAGTTCCACATAGATCGCAAAAACGTCATGTGCGAGGTAGCGCCGCCTGGACATACCATTGCTCACAAAAACATGACTAATTTATTAAAAAATAAAATCTATGATTTATGGTTTATTCTTTATAGAAAAGATGATGCTAACTAGATATTTTAAAATTCATTGATGTGCCTAAAACGGTTTTAATTTTATGACGCTAGTCCACGAACTTTTTGATAACCCCTCGTATATGTTACTGGACTGATTATCACTGACAAAACTTTTGAATATGTGAATAACAATCAGTGATTAGAGTTACATAAACTGTTTCAGAATTACAGCAATAAGACTGAAATCATATAGTCCTGGGAGATTTGACATAATGGAGTATCCAAGGTATATTTGTTTGGTGGAAAATGTGGGAGGGGCCGGGATTTAATATAAAAATATGCAGGTGTCTGGCCATATTGCTGCAGCAGCATCAAAAAGATAAAAACAACTTAATGCAAACATAATTGAAACCAGCACTGCTTTTGACAATAATTGTGCTAAGCAATATGGTGTGATTTTAGGGTAAGGTGAATTTTGAATGTTACCATGGTTACCATGCAGTGATGTAAGTTAATTATTTTGTGTGTTAATTGGCATGAGGGTGACTGATGCTTATCAAATAATTGTACAGATTTAACAATCTTCACTCAACTATAAAACATGAAATGCATGGATATAATATATTATGTATATGTATTTGATCAACATAGTGAACATACCATGGGTTTCAATTGTGATGAATATTCTATAGAAATGTTATATAGTCTAGATTTCTTCTTTAGAGATCCTTTTTGTCCTTCAGAGAGACCTTTTAATACCGGTAGTGCAAACAAATGGTTTTGAGAAATATGTATCTAAATAGTTCCATTCTTTGCCAGAGTTACTGCCCTTGCTTGATCCTTATAAACTGAAAACTGGTCAATTCAAAGATTATTTATTAATAAAATAAAAACAAACCTTTTTTTTCATTTTTTCAGGAAAATAATTTTTGTCACGAAAAAATACCAAAACTGTTTCTGTATTTATTATTCACAAATTACTTTTCAGTTTTGGATAGCAATCTTTAAGATTTTCTTTAAAAAAAAAAATCAAAAATTAAAGCATTTATTTATAAGTTTTATAAAACTATGTGGCTTAGCTTATATTAACCTTACATGCATTTTAAATGTTGTGTTGTGTATTTTAACATTTTTTGTAAAAGGACATTTAATAGTTGAAAAAAAGTGAACCAAAATCATAAGTACTTAAGATTAGATTGATTCATCTAAGGCTCCGACATATATATGCTGCAGTTCATGTATACTAAAATTAAAGTAAGGTTCAGTAGAAGAAAATGATAACATTACTTTTAATTTAAAAATGTGAGTTTTTCTCTGAGATTTTGATATATTTACTCCATATTTTGAAGTATTGGTGTAAAATCAAAAAGAGGATTGGATGATATAGGGTAAGAAAACACCCGCCACCAATTAGTAGAATCATAGATCACTGTATTTAGTCAGACTGCAAATCACATCACTGGCTTATCTCCCCTTGATGTTTATATATATATATATAATCAGAATACAACTATAATATTCATTTGTTCAAAAAATATGCTTTGATAAAATATCAGTTTTTAATAGCAGGTGCTTTTAAGGAATTAGAGTTACTAAGTTACTTTATTTGTAACTGCATGACTGTATACATACTTAGTGACAAGAACTAATGGATTAGATTATTGCAAAAAAGTGCAATTCATATTTTTAATGCCTGTTTTTTGACAGACTTTATATTTTTTAAGATTTCAGTCTATCAGTCTGTACTTGTTAGCATTCTTTGGTGTCTGCCAATTCACACTGAGTCAGCTCCATCCACCAAGCCTTCTCAGTTGATGCATCTTGGGATGAAAGTATGTCACAACCTAAAAGTAGGTCACCATGACCTCATTTCAAAATTTAGTGACTGTGCAAGATCAAATTGTGTTCTTGCACCCTTAGATCTTGGAACGTCAAACTTAGTCAGCTAAAGCATCTTGGGTATTGTGTGTGATGCAACCCAGAAGAAGGTCACTTGGGGGGGGGAGGGGGCTTTCTTTTTAATGTGCCTTTACATATCAAATAGTGTCCTGATCATATCTTGCAATTTACTGTGATGCTTAGGACAACCAAACACTGACAGTTGATGCACCTTGTAGGAAAGGTGTAAAGCAATGCAGAAGTAGGTTACCTTGGCCTTATTTTGTACATATTACTTAGTAATACATGTAAACCATGTGCAGAGCTTTATCTTACGCGAGGAATTTTATAGCTATAGATAGTCAGATAGTGTTTGGATGGGGATAACATGTACCTTAAGCTGTGTATTTCATTTTTTATCACAGAATATCTCACATTTTCATTTTTTTTGTTAGAACCCTAAGTTCATTAATGGCTACAACAAATAGATATTATGAAATCCTAATTATCTATTTTTTCCAGTAAAAATAAAATGGACATTTTGCTATAGGATGAGTTTAAAATCAGTATATATTCTTTTCAGTTCTTACCACTTTGAGGGTAAGGGATATTTTGATCCTTCGATCTACATCTACCCCACGTCAGACAATGTGCCCCGCAGTTATCTCGAGGAGAAGGAGATGGAATGCCTGGCTAAGGATGAAACAATTAGAGTAAGTAACAGATCATCACTGATACCCCAGTGTCTAAAGGCTGGGTAGATGTCGGATGTTTGAGACATGTGCATTGTCTCAACAGTCCCGAGTCCACTCATATCTCAGATCTGTCCTATTTTATCAGATTATGCTTTACTCGCATTGGTCAATGATTTAATAAGCCATGAAATTCTCGTTCTCTTATACAAACTCTGCCAGAATGGGAGAGGGTATCATACACTGTATGACTGTGGTGTGTATGAGACTTGTAGCTGATACATGTAATTGTTTAAAATATACTGTAGAAGTACTTTTTTTCCACATGGTAATGGTATTAATCTACGCTATGTATGCAGTCACAAATTTTCCGCAGAAATTTGTCCAAGCGTTCTTAACAAATGTAAGGCATAAAGTGACACTCTTTCTACCCGCGGATTTAACAAAAATTGAGATTCCGTGGAATTATGACCGGCCCGTGGAAAAAAGTATGTCTACAGTAATTTGGATCTGGTGTCTATGATGCAGTGTCACAGTAAAATTGCATAATATATTCCATGTCTACTGCAATTGAAATGCAAGGTCAAGATTAAGTTGAGTAACTGGTAGGTATTCCTTGTATTACTTGTTAAATGCTGATAGCTAATTATTTTTACAACACTGTCTCATAATAATCAGCATTTATAGGGACCTACTACTGGTACATGTAGTTTCAAGACACTGGTACGGTAATTCACTAGAATTTATCTTAGATTTCAAACTGACTGCACATGCAATAGATCTGTAGAGAATAACTAAATGTGTGTGATAATATTACAGAAGATGGGGTTTGTAGAATTGTTCTGCACTTATTTTGTAGATTTTAAATACTAAAGTGAAGAGATTAGAACAGCTAAACAGAATTAAAGAGGAAAGAATTACAGACATGAAATTCCAGCTTGTCAATGACTTTAAAATCATGCATTTTACCAACAGAAGACATTACCTTAAATAATTTAGTCTGATTGCACAACCTTAACCCATAATTATCTCCCTTTGATTTATTTATTTTATCTGCATATTTTTTTTTCTTTTGATTTTTTTAATTCCAACTACTAGCAGTGACAATCACTTATATCCTTACTAATATACTGTATCCCAAATGAATGCATGAATTTTTTTTTTTTTTTTAGATTATAAAAACAAAAAATTATTGAAGCTTATTTGGATTTTAATGCTCAGACAGATTGCAACAAAGAGAAAAAGAGAATTGCTTATCAACTGCTTCAGATTTCACAAGAAGGTGGGAGGGGATATATTTTTTTCATTTGAGAACAAAATCATTAATGAACTGAAGAATTTTCCGTTTTTTGTAGATACTGAATTCCAAAATCAGGCGATTAGAACATCTTATACAGCTTAAAGATACGCGGATTCTTGAGCTCCAAGGACAATACTCTCGCGAGCAAAGACTGTATTATATGGCCGCTAGAAATAACATCTTACGATAACCCCTCACACATTCCACTCTAACTCCCTCTAATTTCATTAACATCACTGGTTTTTATTTCAGTTTTACATTTTTTCCTCTGTATATCATATCTTCTTTGTTTTGTTTAGTTTGTTCATTCTCAGACTTTAAATGCATATTCTGGAATCAGGGAAGCCTATTGCATGTTCACTTTTTTTTTCTCATGTCATATTTTGTAGATGCTCAATTCAAAAATTCGAAGACTTGAACACCTCTTACAGTTAAAAGATACCAGAATGTCTGATCTACAAGGACAGTTAGCAAGAGAGCAGGGTTTGTACTACGTGACCAGCAGGAAGCACATTATTAAATAAGATACTGCTCACCAGCATGAGCAGCATGATTCAAGCATGTAGTCAGATTGGATTCGCAGCATGAAAACAGCATCTTGAAATATTTCATGAGACCATTCTCTCTTGCTTATGTCTTTGTATGTATTGTCTCATCATACATGTACATATTATAAGTAACCAATCACAAGTCCCCTAACAAATGGTGTGTGGGCGTCTCCTACTAACTTATAGTACAAGCATGATCAGTGGGGAAGGATTGTGCCGAATCGACTGTGATATTTTTCTGTGATAATTCAGATTATCAGTGTATATATTGCCATCGAGAGTTTGCAGTTGTGCTTATTTATTTTCTGTTTTTGTCATAGAAGTCATGTATTAAAAATCATTTTCTTTTTCCCAAGACTATAATCAAGGTAGTCTAATCTTTTTTATGTATATAAAACTATTAGGGCAGGAATTAAGAACTGCCAGAATTTTGTAATGATACCCAGCAGTAACCATCAATTTTAAGTCACATAGATTTTATGAGGTAAAAATATTTATTCACTTGATAACTACTGCTTAAGGGTTAAATAGATATCCTATTTTCTGGATTTCTGGAAATATCCCCCCTCCCCCTCCTGAAATGTAAGAATTTAACCATATATATTTTTAAAACGAAATATTCCCCTCATCCCACCTATTTTCCCCCTTTGACATTTTTGTTTCGTCAGATCCTAGAAGTATACATGCATACTTAACTATAGTATGTTTATATTTAGTTTATTTTTTTCATTGGGAGAAGGAGGTAGGAAAGGGAAGATGCTAAAATGATAAGACTTGTGAATAATTTATCCATCTATACCTCAGTATAACAAAAGTTTTAACTAATACCAAGTAAGTTACGAAGTATTCCATGTTTGCCAAACTTTTGTACATAGAGGAACAGTGCCTAAATCTTATAACAGCTAGCGAATCTCTTTAACTGCCTTTGTTATATTCTCTAAGTACTAAATTTCCAATACCCAACAAATACTATGTGGACAGGGAATTTCTTTGTAAATATTTAATGTAATCCATTGTAGACAGCCATTTTGTTTGAACTCTCCAAGATTTGCTCACACCTTGTGTTCTCTCCCTTGTTTTGTCTGGCCTTTTGTTCAAGTTTTGTTTTAGTAGATTTTTTTAGAAATGTTACCTGCATGTTTTTATTAATTTTTACAGATTTTGTTATTATGCCCCCCTTCGAAGAAGGGAGGGCATATTGCTTTGCTGCTGTCTGTCGGTCTGTCGGTCGGTCTGTCGGTCCACTTAGTTTCCGTTCATTTTCTTCACAACCCTTGCACATACTGAAATGAAATTTGGTATACAGATATATCACATGAATATCTAGGTCAAGTTTTGTTTTGGGTACAATCACACCTTATTTGACAGAGTTATGCCCCTTGGACTTAGAAAAAATTTCAATTATTTGCAGTTTCCGTTCATTTTCTTCGCAACCGTTGCACACACTGAAATGAAATTTTGTATACTGATATATCACATGGATATCTAAGTCAAGTTCTGTTTTGGGTACGATAGCACCATTTTTGACAGAGTTATGCCCCTTGGACTTAGAAAAATTTCAATTATTTGCAGTTTCCGTTCATTTTCTTTGCAACAGTTGCACACATTGACATGAAATTTGGTATACAGATTTATCAGATAAGTATCTAGGCCAAGTTCTGTTCTGGGTACGCATCATTTTTGACAGAGTTATGCCCCTTGGACTTAGAAAAATTTCAATTATTTGCAGTTTCCAGTCATTTTCTTCACAACCATTGCACACACTGAAATGAAATTTTGGATACAGATATATCACATGAATATTTAGGTCAAGTTCTGTTTTGTTTATGATCCGCACCATTTTTGACAGAGTTATGCTCCTTGGACTTAGAAAAATTTCAATTACTTGCAGTTTCCATTCATTTTCTTCGCAATCGTTGCACATACTGAAATGAAATTTAGCGTACAGATTTATCAGAGGTATATCTAGACCAAGTTCTGTTCTGGGTACGATCGCACCATTTTTGACAGAGTTATGCCCCTTGGACTTAGAAAAATTTCAATTATTTGCAGTTTCCAGTCATTTTCTTCACAACCATTGCACACACTGAAATGAAATTTTGGATACAGATATATCACATGAATATTTAGGTCAAGTTCTGTTTTGTTTATGATCCGCACCATTTTTGACAGAGTTATGCCCCTTGGACTTAGAAAAATTTCAATTACTTGCAGTTTCCATTCATTTTCTTCGCAATCGTTGCACATACTGAAATGAAATTTAGCGTACAGATTTATCAGAGGTATATCTAGACCAAGTTCTGTTCTGGGTACGATCGCACCATTTTTGACAGAGTTATGCCCCTTGGACTTAGAAAAATTCCAATTATTTGCAGTTTTCCTTCATTTTCTTTGTAGAGGTTGCACATACTGAGATGAAATTTGGTATACAGATTTATCAGATAAATATCTAGATCAAGTTCTGTTTTGGGTACAATCGCACCATTTTTGATAGAGTTATGCCCTTTTGGATTTAGAAAAATTCCAATTTGGGGGGAGGGGGGCATAAGTGTTTTACAAACATCTCTCGTCTTTTATTATATGTTTCAAGTCTACTTTGATAAAATGTGTGCTGTTCCTAGAATCCGGGATTTTTTCGTACTTGATGTATATTGTGAATTTATGTGGATTAAGGACATGAGGAAACACTTTCATAAAGATGTGAAATTGCACTGAAATTAAATGACATTTTGATAATTATTTTGATTATAAGATATAGACTGTTAAATTACTGTAAACCAGCTTTTATTTGCGACGACTTTATTTCGCGATTTACCACGGATAAACTAGTTTGCAACGATTTATTTTCATGATCAAGCCTTTTTGGATCGGTTTTGTTAATAGACACATATACACTTTAAGGACCGGTTCACGGCGAGAAATATTCGTGATGACGTGCCTCTCGCGAACTTCGCGAAAATTTCTCGCATGCGAATAAAAGTTGGTTTACAGTATATGTTATTTGTTTGATTCACGTAAATGAGTTTGGCACAACTACCGGTACCGATTCTGTTTATTGTGGAAGTGATGGCATTATAGTAAAATGTCAGAACTCTGTAAAATTCTTCAGACAGCTTCAGACTGTTCTTTCAATGACTGTTATGGTTTATTCACAGATTTTATAGGTATAAATATTATATATATATATATATATGCATCATATTATGAAATATTAATGTCTGTATTGGACAGTTTTTCAGTCCAGGAAGAAAGTCACAGTTTTGCTATATTATAACACTTATAGGTTGTTCTCTAGAATGTAACACTAATTTTTTTTTTAGGGGTGAGAGTTTCTTTATAGAGAGGAGAGATATTTCTTTATTCTTTATTTGACTGTGATGTATTCATTATCATTATTTATGTAAAGGAGGTATATTTATTTACAAGTTCAAATAAACACTTTCTACCAGAATGTTTTATTTCTTACTTGAAGCAACTCGTATAGCTTTAACATGATCATTTTATATGCAAACTTACATGCAACAAAGTTGCAACATCTCTACAGTATCAAATGTCAGCTTAGGAATTTACAAAACATTTAAATCATATGGTGATTAGAAGTGTATGTTCTAGATGCAGCATCTAGCTACACTAGTTTGGTCAAGGTAGACTTCAATACTTGGGCATGCTAGATGGCTCTTAGAATCAAAAGCAAGAAAGATAATCTGTGTCCACCTTTGGGCTTATTAGGCAAGCTAGAAATTTAAAAAATTTTGAAAATCACTTTCTAGATATAATGGGATTTCTTGAAGAGAAAATAACAGTGATCAACTGCAGCATCTAGGAGCAGGTCTGCATTTTATATTCTCGAAATGTCTAAAGTTTTCCAGGCTTTTTTTTATTTTTAGTATTTTGATATTTTATGTTTTCCTAACATGTAAAATGTCAAAATCGTTTTTTTTTAAAAAAAAAAAAAAAAGCCCCATATACATAAGATATTTCAGACTAATTTTAAAATAAAAATAAATTTCCCACTCTAAGCAATTCACATAAATTATTCACATTCTCCCAAATCCTTAAGCCAGGGTCACACCTTTCAAATAAACATTAATGTTTGCTATTTCTCATTCAGAAGCAATCGACAATAGTTTTTTTCATCCTAACTGTATAAAACTAGAGGTACTGTGAGCGATGAGCTCACTAAATGATACCCCCCGCCTCGCATATGGTTATAACTGGTGAAAAAGTCCAAGTTTTCCTGTGGCCGGGAAACCCAAAATATGTGTCGGATCAAAAAGTAAAATAGGAGGTGCACAATGGCAATATGTAATAAAGATTCTGTGAAAGTTTCATCAAATTTCATTCAGTGGTATGAGAGGAGTTGCGGATAAGAGATGGGTACCCCAAAGCGTAACAGACGGACGGACGGACGGACCCACGAAATGCAGGTTATGTGATTGACAAATTTATGTGACTTTTTCCAAATTTATGTGACTTTTTCCAAAAAAATTATGTGGCGCAAAACATGATACATGGGGTAAGGGAGGTAAATCTCAAAACCTTTTGACGGACGTCCATATACGGACAATATTGTCCGTATTTTTTTATGTGACACTTCTTTAGAGTGATTTTTAAGTCACATAACACTCATTTCTGCTAAAAAAAATCAAATTTGTATGTGACAGTCACATAAAACAAAAGAGTCACATAAATCTTAAATGGGCACAAAAACTGTCACTTAACCATTATTTCGTGAGAACGGACGGACGGACAGACGGACGGACAGACGGACGGACGGACGGAAATCCCGATCACTATATACCCTCCCGCTTTTCAAGCGGGGGGTATAAATATGATGAAATTCTGACAGAACTGAGGAAATTCCAGAAAATGTCCTACTTCTGAACGCAACAACTTCTAGTTGCTTTCATGTAAGCTTTGAATCCAAATTAGTGCTGGTTTTAAAGCAAGCACCATTTTAAGTTCTCAACTACAAACTATCATAATTTTACTGCAGTGATCGATCTGATTTTTACATCAATACCGGGCCAGATTTGGACGTTACCCTGCCTTGTCCTTTCTGACCCGTGTGTAGGTTGGGTTTAGAATGGAGGGACATTGGCTAAACCTTGGCACAAAGCTAGAAAAAGGTCTAAACATGCGTTATAGGTCCTTGATTTAGGGTCATTATACCCCCCGCCTGAAAAGCGGGAGGGTATATAGTAATCGGTATGTCCGTCCGTCTGTACGTCCGTCCGTCCGTCCGTCCGTCTGTTACGCTTTTTCTCTTATCCGCAACTCCTCTTATACTACTGAGTGAAATTTAATGAAACTTTCACAGAATCTTTATTACATATTGCCATTGTGCACCTCCTATTTTACTTTTTTATTCGACACGTATTTTAGGTTTCCCAGAGCAAAACATGGACATTGCCATTTTTTGTTTACCTATGACGTCACATAATAGAAGCTTCTGGATAACATTTCATAGGACGAGTTATTACCCTAAAACTATATAAAGCAACACATCGACATTATGGGAGGCGGGGGTATCATTTAGTGAGCTCATTGCTCACAGTACCTCTAGTTGAGATACTTTCTCTTCAGAAAATAAAGAGCACAAGCTTGCCTATCTGAGATTTTTTAATCATAAAATGCATCTGATACTAGTTTATACAAGCTAATTCAGAGAATCTGTGTCCCCCGCTTAGGGAATTCGTAAACGCATTTCGGGGGGGAGAGGGGATCGAGTCGGATCCCCCTGACTGGATTATTATGCCATTATTGTAGAAGTATTAAATGTATACATGTATACTGAAACAAATGAAATATGCCAGTATGGATATAAAGATTTGATTGCTTATTCTTTATTATGTGTATAGAAGATCCTTTTTATATGGAATATTTATCACACTGTAATGATGATTTTATGAGTTTGTGCAAGCCAGACCTCATAAATTTTTCATTTCATATGCTATCATTTATTAAAAAAAAAAGTATTTCGAAAAAAAAAGAAAATGGTTCGTCCGGGATTTGAATCCGGCACCTCTCACATGTGAAGCGAGAGACATACCACTAGACCACAGAGCTACTTGCCGCACAAGAAAATTAAATGCTAAAAATGAAGTCACATACATGTATATATTCATGTTCGATATTGTCAAAATTTTACACAATGAATGGTGTCTAATGTAACCTTTATTAAACAGTTCTAATAGATGTAATAAGAATATAAAATCCGCCGAGAACCTGTTTTATACGCAATAACTCTCCTCATGCCCCTGTACTAAAAATAGCGACATGTAAGAAATCCAGTCAAAGCGTTCCCAATTAAAACCGTCCCGGTCAAAGCGTTGCCTGATTTTGGTCAAAGCGTACCATGATTTTGGTCAAAATGTCCCCAGATTTTGGTCAAAGCGCCCCCTGACATATTTTATAGAAATATGATACTACAAAACCGCCCCCCGATTTTGGTCAAAGCGTCCCTTGATTTTGGTCAAAGCGCCCCCTGACATATTTTGATAGGAAAACATAGTTTCTAAACCGCCCCCTGATTTTGGTCAAAGCGTCCCTTGATTTTGGTCAAAGCGCCCCCTGACATATTTTATAGAAATATGATACTACGAAACCGCCCCCTGAT